TCCTCTCCTACTTCTCTCCACTTTTTTTTTTTTTTTTGGACAGGGTATCAGCTTGTAGGCCAGGGTGGACTCAGACACTAAGATTGAAGGTGTGCACCATGCCCCCCCCACTTCCGTAGTTGGGTGTCACCGGAGCTAGGCCTGAACTTCTGGCTTCATGTGATCATCTTGCCCAGCCTGTTCGTTTCTATAGCTGCAATATTGCCAAGTCCAAAACAAAGTCCGGACAAATGGCTATCTGTGGTGCCTTGGCACACCAAAGCGCATGCTGGCCTCCAGGCTCAACCCCTACCCTCAACTTCTCTACCTCACGGACTTCCCTTCCCCTAGTATCTCATTCCTAAATAATCCTGCCCCATTTCAACCACTCACTCCGAGACCCCTCTCTGGGTCTCCTTTGCCCACACTCTCTTCTCCCTCTCTCCTCTCATGGCCCAATTCAGTCTGCTGGCCATGTTTAGACTACTCTCTCCCTGCTCTGGAGTCTTTCAGGTGACCCTGGCTAGTCTCCTCATACCTACAGTAAAAACTTTCTCATTGACCTTATATTGGATGGTCCTTCTCACTCTATATATCTGGTGCTGAATTCCCACTTTATATAAATGCAGTGCTAATATGGGGCGGGGTGTGCACTCATGTCATCCCAGCATTTTTGAAGCTGAGGCAGAAGGATCAGATTCCAGGCCAGCCTGGATTTAAGAGAGCTCCGTTTTCATACCAATCAAAGGCAGCAGGAGCTGGGTATGCAGGGAAAGTGAGCCCTGGCAAGGTTGCTGGGGTGCAAAGACCTGCACTCTGCACACTTCACCTTCAGAACCAGGCGGCTCTGACCTCTGGGCCAGGATGTAAACCCACACTGAGCCGGAAGCATGGCTGCCTGCTATCACGACCAGACTGGAAAATATGCTCTGAAGGATTGAGCAATACAGCTCTTCCTAGGTCTTCATTTCCCTGCCTTCGAATGTGGTGGGCAGCTGGCAAGGCAGTGGTCCCCAAGGTGGGAAGAGCAGCAGTGACCAGGAGCCCAGTCCTGGGTCACTCCGTACCCTTGGCCAGTCTCTCTCCTTGCCACCAGCTGTGTGGTCCGAGATACTCCAGCAGGGCCTCAGGATCCAGCAGGGCCAGACACTGTGATGTCAGTGCAGGACTGTATGGACTGTAGGAGGGAGCAGGTAGTTCATGCTTCCCTCTCCCCTCCCCTAAGTGCCCCACTTCAGACAGTAGAGGGCTGGGAGTGGGGCATGGAGCTGGACATTAGGGAGGATGCCCCCGAACTGAGTCTTTATTCTACAGGCTTGGCAAGTGGGGCCAAATTGATGGCAGGGGCATGTGTACTTACTCTGTGTGTGGGAGCACAGGCTTAATCCCAGCACTCATGAGCAGAGGCAGATGGATCTCTGAGTTTGATGTTGGTCTACAGAGACTTCCAGGCCAGCAGAGCGGTGTAGTGAAAACCTATCTCTAAAACCAAACTAAGAGTCTGGAGAGATGGCTGTGATTTAGAGCACTGGCTACTCTTTCAGAGGACCAGGGTTTGATTCCCAGCAATCAACTCTAGTTCCAGGAGATCTTCCAGGAGATATGATGCCCTCTTCTGGTCTCCGCAGGAACCAGGCATGCAGGTGGTACATGTATACATGTAGGCAAAACACTCATATAAACTTTTTAAAAACACAGGATTTTAAGTGGAAAAAAAGTGATGGGCCAGGACAGCCCAGTGGGTAAAGGGGCTTGCTGCTAAGCCTCATGACTCAACGTTTAACCCACGTGCGAGAAAAAAGGGCTTCCCAACCTCCACAAGAATGTGGTGGCATATGCAGCCATATTCACTCACCACACATATCCACATCAATTTCAGTATGAGTATTTTACCTGCATGTATGTCTGTACACTGTGTGTGCCAGAAGAGGGCATCAGATCCCCCGGAACTGGAGTTACAGATGGTGTGCTCTGCCATGTGGGTGCTCAGCTAGTGCTCTTAGCCACTGAGCCAAACACTTCAACTTCAATAAATGGAATTTAAAAGATATTCTCAAGTGGCAACAAAATGGCTGTGAAAGTCTTAAACCTATTGTCCATGCAGCTGTGAATGTCCCCTGGAAGGTCTCTTCTGGCTCCACAATGGCCAACTATTCCCAAGGAAACACTCATGAGCTGCTGGCTGTTCCGTGTTGCTGGGGCTCACATGTCTGCCACTTGACTTTACGGATGTGGGAGGGTACCCTCCTGCTCTATTCTGATTGAATCTAGCTTGTTGAATTGGGGCCTCTGTGTAGGGTCCAGGATTCCCAGGTCAAGGGACCTCCCTGCTTCACTGTCCCAAGCAGTCATGACCGTATGTATGGCCAGAACACACAGCTTGCTATTTGAGTTTCCCTTTTCACGCTTCAGTCTATTGCTTAGACACAGCCTCAGCCTCCCTGGACCATGGAAGCCGAGTGAGGGGTGCAATCTCCTGTACGAACACATTTCATTACCACATGGCCCTACATTCAAAGTCACAGGATATGCTGGATAGTTATATCAACTTGACACAAGCTGGGGTCATCTGAGAGTGGGGAACCTCAATCAAGAAAATTTAATAGCATAGGCTGCTCTCCCAGAGGTCCCATGTTCAATTCCCAGCAACCACATGGTGGCTCACAGCCTCTATAATGAGATCTAATGCCCTCTTCTGGCATGCAGGCAAACATGCAGACAGAACACTGTATATATAAAAAATATAATAAATCTTAGCCGGGCGGTGGTGGTGCACACCTTTAATCCCAGCACTTGGGAGGCAGAGGCAGGCAGATCTCTGTGAGTTCAAGGTCAGCCTGGTCTACAGAGTGAGTTCAAGGACAGTCAGAGTTACACAGAGAAACCCTGTCTCAAAAAACCAACCACACCACACCCCACCCCCACCCCCAGCAAACAAAAAAAAAAAAACAAAAAAAAAAAAACAAAACACCTCCATAAGGAGGTTGCAGGCAGGCCCATAAGGCATTTTCTTAATTAGTGGTCAACGGGGGAGGGCCCAGCTCACTATGGGAAGTACCATCCCTGGCCTGGCGGTCTTGGGTTCTATATAAAGCAGCTGAGCAAGCTCTAAGAAGCCAGCCAGTAAGCAGCACCCCTCCATGCCTTTCGCATCAGCTCCTGCCTGGAGGTGCCTGTCCTGTGAGTTCCTGTCCTGACTTCCATGATGAACAATGCTGTGGAAGTATAAGCCAAATAAACTCTTTCCTTCCCAGCTTGCTTTTTGGTCATGTTGCTTCATCACAGCAATAGAAATCCTTAGACAAGTTGGTACCAGAAGTGGGGTATTACTGTGATAGACCTGACCATGCTTTTGGGAGGACTATGAAACTTAGACCTTTAATCTACAAAGGCCATTCAGAGTTGAGAGCTCTATGGGCTGTTCTGTAGGAGCTTGGACTATAAGAATTCTGAGGGTACAGGAAGCTGAGGCAGGCAGATCTCAGTGAGTTCCAGAGTGCCAGGACAGCCAGGACTGTTACACAGAGAAACCCTGTCTCAAAAAAGAAGGAAAAAAAAAAAAAAAAAAGAACACTGAGGGCAGCCAGGGTGGTGGTGGCACATGCCATTAACCTCAGCACTCAAGGGAGACAAGAGCAAGGCAGATCTCTGTGAGTTCAAGGCCAGCCTGGTCTACACAGTGTTTCAGGACAGCCAGGGCTACACAGAAATTTTCTCCAAAAAAACAAAAATACGTAGAAAAAAGAGAAGAGACCAGCATTTTTGAGGTGAAATCTTCTGGGAAGTACTTCCCGATAGCACATTTAAGCTGTGTTCCAGAGACGGTGGATCTTGCACCCTTGCACCTGCAGGTGAAGTTGGTAGTGTAAGAGAGACCCAGGTTGTACTGGTTCTGAAGACATGAAAGGGTCATGGAAAGCAGCTGAGGCTTGGCACTATGAGAGGCTATTGGTAAAAGTGTAGCCCAGCTGCAGAAGACCCCAGCATTTCAGACATGCCAGTTCCGTAAGACGACCATCACCAGCAGCAGCAGCAGCTATGGAGTGGAGTCAGCACCTAGAAGATGAACTGTGTGTGCTGCAGAGGGCAGAGTGGAAGGAGTCCTTTTGGAAGAGCCTGGAAGATCACGAGTGGACCCAGACATGGGACAATGTGTTGTTTACACAGTTGGGGAGTTTGGTTTTGCTTTGATTTTATTGTGACTGTGCCCTAGTTCTTCTCTCTTGAAGTAAGAAAATACTTTTAATTTTCTGGAGTCTACAGTTGAGACTTTGAATTAATTTTTTTTCATTTCCTTTTTTATTTTTGTCCATTAGTGTTTTGCTTGCATGTGTGTCTGTGTGAGGGTGTCACATCCCCTGGAACTGGAGCTGTAAGCTGCAATGTGGGTGCTGGGAATTGACCCAGAGTCCTCCAGAGGAACAGCCAGTGCCCTTCACTGCTGAGTCCTCTCTCCAGTCCCCAGAGACTTTAGATTTTAATAGAGGCCTGGAGAGCACAGTGGGCCTAGGAAGCAGCCACTGTCTGGCCTGGCGAACTCCATCAGCATGCATAAGAAACAGCCTATCAGGAGGTCTGGGATGCCTGTTACCATGGATGGGGCACTCACTATGAAGGCTGGAGATGTTGTCTAGGGACACTTGTTATTGGCTCTGGGTTGGCAGACTGCTGTCAAGGCCTAGAGATGTGTGCAGTCAGGTCTGGGGACATCTGCAGTGAGGGTTGACCTGGGGATACCTGTCATCAGGGCTCCAAATGCCCTTTACTGTCATTTAGACACCCGTCAGGCCTAGTCTGCACTGTGACCTTCCCTCCTCCTCACAGGACTGACTTTTTGAGACAGTTTCGTTCTGTGGCTCAGGATATCCTTCTACCTCAGTCTCCCTAGTGCTGAGATTACAGACAAGAGTCACTACATCCAACTCATTTCCTGTTCCTCCACATGCGTGACATAACTGGGGCTGACCTCAGACGACCAATGCCTCCCCAGGGGCCTCAGTGACTGCAGTGCAGGCCGGGCAGTGGGTCTGCTCCTCATTTATTCCGAGCACTCGACACGACAACACCATGACATCTCCGAGCCTCACAAACACAACAGCGCCCCAGTGTAACATCACCAGTGTTCTTCTGCGTTTTACCAGGGACCAGAACCAACCTTCGCCAAGAACTTCCAGGAACAGGAGCACGTCAGAGCCACAGCAGGCCAAGCCAGCACAGCTTTTGGAATCCATGGCCCTTGTGGAAGTGACCCTGGAACTAGAATGACAGGAGAAACACTGTGACAGGGACAAGGCCACACGAATGTGCAACAGATGTCCTCCACAGCCCTGCCCACAGAGCAGCTTGGCTGGAGAATAAGGTGGCCTCAGGAGGGTGAAGACAGCAGGGTGTGTGTGAGGAGGGTCACGGCAGCTCGCACGGACTGGTGTGAGGTATGTGCTCCCTCTCCCCTCCACCTGCCCTGTCCCCAGAAGAGCCCAAGAATGTCATTTCTCAGGTTGGGAGGTAGCCCCTGAAGGTCTCAGTTCCAGGAGTGACAGGAGACTTGGCACCAGGGCCATATACCCACAATTCCTTAATCATCTTGAAGACCCAATGGAACAGCACAAAATGCAGATGCCTGGAGAGAAGCTGGAGAGACAAGCGGTTGTGGGCTCCACCTGCGGAGCCCACCACGGACCAGGGTCCCCCTCCAACCCACAGCCAACATGAAAGCTGCTAGAAAAGTGAAAGAAAAGACCAGAGGACGAAGCTGCAGCCTGGGGTCCCTGATCTGTCAGCTCCCACCCTGTAGACTGGCTCAAGGTCAGACTGTGACCCAGTTGCAGTGCAGCATCCCCACAGCTACAAAGACCTGTGGGTTGCCGAGACAACAGAAGAGAGTCAGGTGGGCCTGGGGCTGCACCAGCTATGAAGAAGGGGCACAGTGGGGTAATAGAAGCCGAGGACTAACCAGATCCTCCAGCTATGCTCATGGCTGACACCAGACTTTCCAGACATCTGTAGGCACTGCAAACGCCCACTTGTGGTGGGGAAGCTGGGACCCCAGCAAGAGTGTCTGCACAGATCAGGGGCGGCAGGCACAGGCAGTCCTGGGCACAAGGAGGGCTCCAAGACAGCCATCCATTGCCCCTGAGCAGTGGCCCATCCTTCCAGAGGCCCCAGAAAGACAGTCTATGGGAAGAGCCGAGGAGTGTCACAGCACTGCTCTGCGGGAGCCACCCCAAGGCCAGAGGTGCACGGGTTGGGGTTTCCCTCAGGATACACTCCCCAGGGACAGAGACAGGCATGTGCTGGGCATGTAAGCTCCGCTGTATTAAACTGGGGCTAAGATTCTGAGAAGTCTTCCAAAACAGAGTCCTGCTACACAGCCAGGCTAGACTTTAACTTGCCCTAATCCCCCTGCCTCAGACTGCAGGGCTCTCAGACGTCTGTAGGAGCTGAGATGCCATTGCTCAAAAGCAAGAATCCACACCGCTCCCTCTCCACCAGAGCCTCTGTGTTCCCAGATAAGCTCCAGAGACAGCAGCAGGCAGGGCTGTGTGGAGAACGTGCAGGGAGCCAGGCCCTGGGCACTAAGGCTGAGAAGCCACCCTACAGAAGAGGAACAAGACGACAGACAGAGTCAGGAGCGGGAAGGCAAGCAGCCCGAGAGCGGCCGCTGCAGTGTGCAGTGGCGAGGCCTGCTGGAACCTGACCCGGGGGTGTGGAGCTGGCCGAGTACACACCGAGGCTTAGGCTGCAGGCGTCCGGGGCAGGGTGACGGGAAGGGCAAGGCTGCTTCGAGGCTTATCTCTGTCACCAGTGGCTCTGATCTAGTCAGGAAGAGAACGGCTGTTCAGAACTGAGCATGGAGCATTGTGGGAGGGAAGGTCAAGGACCAAGAATGAGGGCTGGCGATAGGGCTCAGTGGGTAAGGGGGCCTGCTACCAAGCCTGAGGACCCGAGTTCAATCTCAGGGTCCCACATAGTGGAAGAACTGACTCACAAGCTGTCCTCTGCCCTCCACACGGGCACCTCAACACACCTGCTTACACACATACACACAGTAAATATAAAAAAAAAAAAGAACCAAGAGTGGGATGGATGAGGCCTTCACAAGAACAGCACTGAAGGCCCACAGGAAGGAATGTGTAGGTAGGCTGGGCAAGGCCACTAATCATCAAGTCTGTCCTGGCTGCTTGACCCTGCAAGGACTGTCATCTTTAAGAGAAACCTTGAGCAAGAGCAGGCAGGGCCAAGGGTGGCCTGCTCCCATGACAGCATGCTCAAAGCCCAGCAGAGGCATTGGAGGTGAGATGGGAAGCCTGGGACCAGCAGGCGGCCCCTTTATGAGAGGAAGCTTCCTCCTCTGCATGCCTGAACAGGAAGAGGGGGCACATGGCAGCAAAGCCCTTTGCTTCACTCAGATTTTCTTTCTGATGACATCAGGTGCTGGTCCGGGTCCTGGCACGCACCTATTTGCTGGCCCGCTTGTGTCTGTACATCTGCATCATGCGCTGGCGGAAGACGTCAAACGTGTCTTCTTTCTGCTCTGGCCCATCAGCCCCCAGGCCCTCTCCTTCTGAGAGCGTCCCCCTGCAGAGCAGAGGCAACAGTCAAGAGCCAGGGTCAGGGGTCAGCCAGGGTGCACAGGGACATGGGACACAAACATGCAGAGAGCAAAGGGTCACAGGGCTGGGGCATGCTCAATGACAGGGTGCTCGCCACTGCACGGTGAGGCCCAGGGTTCTCTCCTTAGCACAGCAAAAATCAAACAAGGAAAAGACAAGCCCCAAGCCACAGTGGGAAAGAAAACGAAGGCTACTAGCTCATGGGAGCACAGACTACGTGGCCTTTCTGGGTAGTCATGGCACATAACTTGTGTGCTTGAGACACAGCCTTTTATGTAGCCCAAGGTGGCCTGTAACTCACAATTCTCCTGCCTCACTCTCTCCAGAGTTGGGATCACAGAAGAGTGCCAGGCCTGACTGGAGCCCTCTGTGGGTCTGTAGCCTGACCAGAAGAAGATACCTCACACAGTGGTATACTGGGACTGAGGGACATGCCCTCTGGATATATGAACAGGAGCTGAAGATCTGTGTCCCCACCCTGGCTGCTTGTAATGCCTTCTAGAAACATCTGTGCCATAACTACCCAGAAAGGCTGCTTAGTTTCCAGGGCCATGAGCATCAGGGCCAAGAAGCTGTCCAGAGGTCTACAGAGGAAGGAGTCGGCCACATCTGTACAACCGAATGACCCAGCTGTACACTGTGCCTCGCCCCAACAGAAGGCACCCAAGGGTCCCCCAGCCATGCCATACACGCTGACAGGCTCGCGGATGCCCTTCCCAAGGGAGCCCAGGCCGTGGCCTTCCTTCCAGCCCATCTTCTGCAGCATCTGGAAGCCCAGGTTCTTGTCTGTCAGTTTCTGCTGGGCAAACTCCAGGTCCTTGGGTTTCTGAGGAGAGAGAGGTGGGGATGGGTGAACCAGTCTTCTCCAGAGCGCACTGGATCCCCAAGTGCTGTCCTAACCCCAGACACCTGGGATGGTGAGGCCCACTCACCTCCAGCTTCCCTGTAACATCCCTGAGGGTGGGATTTCTTGAGTCCAGGTCCCTTACCCCAGGGTCAGAACTGGCACCTGGCAGTGGGGTGGCATGCTGCTGCCCTGTGCTGAGCCTGCGAGGGAAACCCTGTGAGGAGGGCGAGGCTCAGGCCAAAGGCTCAGCAGGAATGATTGAGCAAGAGACCTGTCAGGACAGTGGCCTCTCCTGTGAGTAGACAAATCACTGCTCTCTTGTGCACTGCACAGTTTATATTGTAGGGTCTGAATGGAGTCTCCAGCTCAGCCTCCTGAAGGCAGGGACATAGGCATGCCCATGCCTGGCTGCTATCTTGGGGATGGGGTCTGCTGTGATACCTAGGCCAGCCTAGAACTCCTACGCATAAGTAACCATCCTGCCTCATCCTGCCTCAGCCTCCTGAACACCTGGGACACAAGTGCAGGCTCCATACCCAACTCTGCAAAGTGCCTGAAGGCTCATCTTAAGCAGCAGCAAGTGTACCATTCTGATCGTGCACCTGCAAGGGTCGGGGGTGTCACTATGTAGTCACACACACCTTCTTTTTGGCTATGGGACGACCCCGAGGCCTGTCGTAGGCGATTCGAACTGGTTCATGGACTAGAAGACAAAAGGGAGAGATCTGTCCACACTGCACATTTGCCCCATGTCCATAGAGACAGACAGAAATGCTGCCTGGTGAAGACACAGTCCACACCTGGCAGCTGCTGGCAGCCGCTGGCTCCCCTCCCCTCTCCAGCTCTCCAATAGTCTGTCTGCTGCGCTGGGCTGTGAATGGCTGTGATGGAGCCAACAGCACTGTCTGTGCTAAGGGCATCACTCAACTGGAAAGTACTGCCCTGTACAGGGATCTGCTGCTTGGGCTGCTTCCTGTGGCCACAGGCAAGCCACAGCAGTACTGCACCCTCCTAGTTCCATCAAGAGCACATCAGAGGGACAGTTCCGGGAACCCTAACTATCAGTCAAGAACTCAACAACTCAGGAGAGCACCGAGCGCTCATCATCATGGAAGTCACTGAAGACAATGGCAGGGCTGTCTCACTGATGCCCAAGGCACCAAGGCATCCGACTGAGGTAAGACAGACATGCGCCTCCCTGCAAGAAGCATGGTTCGGCTCCCCTGTGCCCCAGGATACAGGACACAAGGGTCACAGCTGGGCCAACGGCCGTCCACTGCAGTGCTAAGGACACATACCCAAGGACTGTGGGGACGGTGTCACACAGGCCTGCAAGCCCCAACGGCTGCTCTGTCCCTTCTTCACTACAGTGTGGGATTTCTGGGGACTCAGAAGCTGCGTGTGCTTCAAGATCAAAGGTGGGAGGTGGAGGGAGACTGTCTAGCAGGGCCCAGTGGTGACAGAGCCCAGCAGATGAGAAGGGGCCCCTTGTAAGAAGGGCAGCTCCCCTTACTAGACATGTGGGTCTTGTGCTAACAACTGGGAGTGCAGTGCACATCGGTTAAAAATACTTTTGAGCCAAGCACAGGCCCAGGGCCCTGCAGCACTGGCTTACCTGGGCTCCCCTGCCAGCACCACACACCAAGGAGAACCTGGTCATGGTGGCACACCTACAGTCTCACCCTGAGGAGCTGGGCAGGAGCATTACTGTGTAACGCCAGCACAGGTCACACAGGCATGTTCTGTCTCAAAGAAAACCAAAACAAAACCCAAAAAGACACTCAAATCCTAAGTCCTAGGAGCAGAGAATCCTGTGCACTGTGCCAGGCACTTGGGGTCCATCTGCACACACAAGGCCAGCAGGTGCCAGAAGGCAGGGTGACTGGCTGTGGCAGGTACATCTGGGATGGCTACTGAGTGTGCTTCCTCCCTCCCCCTCCCCAGGACTCTGGGGGCACTCACCCTTTGACTCCTGGATGAGACACACCCTCTTGGGGGCAGGGATCATGCCAACTTTCAGTGACTTGCTGCTGATTCTCTTCCTGGGGAAGCAGCTGCCGGAGGAGGTCTGTGACAGGCCAGGGGTGCCAGCCTGGTCCTCCCTGGACCCCTCTCCAGGGATGCTGTCAGTCGGGGAGCTGCCCTCGGAGCCTGGACACTTGGCAGCTCCTACCTGTGGCCTGAGGGTGCAGGTCTCCTCTCCGCCCTCATCCTCCTCGTCCTCCTCCTCCTCATCTTCCTCCTCCTCAGGCAGCACCTCAGGGCCCTCCAGTGTAGCCTCCTGCTGGGGACGCCCCTCCTCTGGCTCACCCTCACCCTCCTTCCGGGCTGTGGGGCTCTGCACTGAGTCCCCCGCCTCACCAGTGGACTGGAAGGAGATGGATGGGCACAGTTCCAGCACCTTCTCTCGGTAGAACTTGAAAGCTGAGCTGCTCTGGTCGTGCAGGAACCTGAGGATGACATGCACTGCTGAGCTGCAAGAGTGTGAGCTCCTGACTTGGCCCAGAACACAGGCAACAGCAGGATATGACCTCCGCATTGCCCTGCTATGGCTTCACAGCCCAGCTAATGAGACAGAGCGTTCAGAACTTAGACTGGCTGAATCTAATAATCTTCCCTGGATGGGAGAAGATGACCCTGAAGTTCATCAAGACCAGATGCTCATGCAACATGCACGACCCCGCCCCCGATTCCATCCCTAGAACCCTAAAAGAAAAGTCTTCGAGGCAGCTCAGCTAGTAAAAACACTTGCTGCACATGCCTGAGAACGGAATTTGGTTCCCAGAGCCAACAGTCCGCTCAGACTGTTTCCACTGACCTCCACAAATGCCCACAGCGTGCGTGCGCGCGCGCGCACACACACACACACACACACTTAAAAAAGATAAATCTTAAAAATCAAACAAAACCTAAGGTGGAAAGGCAATTGGGGAAGGACATCCCAGTGTCAACCTCCGGCTTCCTTGTGTGTCCTCCATACAGGCAAGTGCACCAACACTCATGGACATACCCATCTGATACCACACAGGCACACACAAACACCAAAGTTCTAGCAAGTACAAAGTGACTGACAGTGACGAACTGCTGCCTGGGGATGTAAGAGCTGGCAGGCAGAAGCGGTAGGAAGGCACACAGGGTGATGACGGTCAGCTTGGCTGGTACAAGGGGATTTGGGGGGGTTTGGGGAGCAGAGCTGAGTGGCTGTGGGGCAGCAGGTGGGGAAGCCTGCCGCACACTGAGTGCATCTCCACCCAATGGGAACTCAGATGGAGCAGAGGGAGGAGAAGGAAGCCCGCTGGTAGTACACACAGGCTGTTCTGCTCCCTGGCCTCCAGAGGTCTGCTGTGCCTCTCGGCCTTGTCTCTAACTGGGAGAAATGAAGCCAGATTCATCACAAACTGAGACCTCAGAAGCCACGAGCCCAAATCAACCATCCTTCTTGCACGTTGTTTGTGCAGTTTTCTGACCCAGGAGAGGGGCAGGACCTACGGAGGTCCTGAGGTCCCCTTCACGAGCACAAAGAGACACCGTCACTGGACAGCACTGTAAAGGAGCATCATGAACGACACTGTAGGCTGGTGGGGACTCAAAGCCAGTCAGGAGGACAGATGCACAGGTGGGAAAAGGAAAGGCCTGGAAACATTTTTTGCAGTGCTGGGTTAGAGCAGCCGAGAGAGTGCTTGGCACTGGGCTATGCAAAGGGACAATGAAAGACACGCACACACGATGGCTTCCGGCTGCTGAGAAGCGTCAGTGGGAAAGCCAGACTTCTCTATGTCATTTTTACTTTAGAACAAAACTGAATTAAAAATTCCAGCTGGGTTGCTGAGCCATGGTGCTGCACACCTTTAATCTCAGGACTGGGGAGGCAGAGACAGGTGGATCTCTAAGTTCGAGGCTAGCTTGGTCTACAGAGTGAGTTCCAGGACAGCCAGGACTACACAGAGAAACCCTGTCTCAAAAACCCAAAAACCGAAAACAAAACAAAACAAACAAAAAAATGCAGCTGGGCATGATGGAGCACGCCTTTAATCCCAGTACTCAGGAGGCAGATGGACCTCTGTGATTTCGAGGCCAGCCTGGTCTACTAGTGAGTTCCAAGCCAGCTAGGGCTGCACAGTAAGACCCTGTCTCAAGAGTAAAACTCACATTTTTCCCACCACCCTCTCCCCTACAAATTCAAATACGGGGACCATCAAGATGGCTCAGTGGATAGAGACACTGCCTGCCTCCAGGCTGACAACCTGAATCTGGTCCCTCGACCTCCACGGCAGGAGGAGAGACAACTCCTCAAGTTGTCCTCTGACCTCTACACTTACACTGTGGCATGCACACGGCTGCCACAGATTAAATAAACAATGTAAAAGTAAACACATCCCACTGGGGTCTGTGTATATGGCTCAGTGGATAGAAGTGTTTGCTGTGCAGGAGCTGGAGTGCCAGAACAGCAAGCTTTCTTTTTAAACTGTAATCTTCACTGAATTGGAAAAAAAGCCCACTTAAGGGCCTGATATGAAGCATCTTCCAGCACAGGCCCAGGAGGCCTACGACAGCATCCCTGACAGTATGTGTGGGCAGAAGCAGGATGTGGCTCAGAGTACGGCACCCCGGGGAGCGGGAGTCAGCCTAGGCAGGTCAGTCAAGAGCCAGGACTGAGGAGTGCAGGACACAGCATGCACCCACCAGGCCCAGGCAGTAGAGCAGCATGCTTTGTTTGCACTGGACCCATAAGTTCTTTAAGACATGTAAGCCAGGGCTGGAGAGATGGCTCAGAGGTTAGAAGCACTGGCTGTTCTTCCAGAGGTCCTGAGAGTTCAAATCTCAGCAACCACATGGTGGCTCACAATCATCTGTAATGAGATCTGGTGCCCTCTTCTGGCCTACAGGGACACATGCAGGCAGAACACTGTATATGTAATAAATAAATGTTTTTAAAAAAAAAAAAAAAAAAAAAGACATGTAAACCAGCCTGTCTGCCTTCTGTTCATCCTGCCTACTTTCCATCCTTCCCTTCTGTGCTTTTTGAAGCAGGACCTCAAATTCCCTGTGGAGCAAGCATGACCTTGAACTTCCTGCCTCCACCTTCCAAGTGCTAACAAGACTGGTGTGTGACACCATGTAGCTAGCTCATGTGGTGTTGGGGACAGACACCAGGGCTCTGCATACCAGGCAAGAAGTCTACAAACTGAGCTCCAGCTCTGGTCCAAATGTGTACATTTCCAACTGTACTCCACTGCAGGAGTGGAGTGGAACAAGAACAGACCCAGGTCTCCAGCACCCAGCAAACATTCAACTGCATTTTCAGTCAGACCATGACACAGTTCTCCAGCAAGCAGGAGGAAGCCCAACAGTGCCAGGCTTGGTCCTAGGAACACATGGGAGATCTCACATGGCCTCTGGAACAGGCCAGGAGCGCACCATAGAGGCCTTCTACCACAGGATAGAGTTCCCTCAGCAGCTGGGGCTCTTCGGGGCTGGTTTCTGGGCTTTTCTCAGACAACTTGTGAGGCACATGCCAAAATGTTGTTGGTGTACCCAGTCTTTGTGTGAGGGCCAATGGAAAAGAGGGCGAGGCTTTCCTGATCTAGGTGAAGGCTTACCCAAAGGAACCCATCCTGCCTGCTCAGTGTGTGGCTATGGGGTGTGGGGGGGCCAAGGCACGTACCACAGGTCAGGGTTGTCGGTGCTGTTCTCTATGCTGAACTGCTCAATTTCGGGGCCCACCTGAGCCACAAATTTGGCCAGCTTCTCAGCGGTCTCCATGGTCTTCAGATCCACTACAAAACACAAAGCAGTGGTTGGGGCTCTTTAGACTGACTCAAGCTGCTTAACCTTGGTCCTCTCCTTGTTCTCATTAGTCAATAGGCAGACGGTGGCAGAAGCACCAACAGTCCCATGGACGCCTGGGCTGGCTGCCAGGGGAACAGGCACATGGCTGTCACCCTCATCACATCAGCCAAGAGGCTGCCAACCTGCTGCTCAGACTCTCACAACTCAGGTCAGCAGATACCCTGCCAGCAGCTCAGGAGCCAAGAAACATGGCTTGGGCACTGTGGAGTCTGCGCATGTTGCCGCTGCAAGCTACATGGGCGCACTGGGCAGAGCGACACAGAAGGCATCCAAGGAAACGCCACGTGGGCTCGGCTGCACGGACCCTGCACCTGTAGATTCGTCCAGGCCAGGCTGAAAACACCTGCAACGGCCTTGGCGTACAGCTTGGGGGTGAGTGAGTGCCTAGTAGGCCTGTGGCCCTGCAGTCAATGGCCAGCACTGCTGAACCCAGACAGACCAATGAAGCCACTTAAAAAGCAACTGCCTCTGTCCATACTTTACATTCTCAACACCCCCTAAATAATACACGAATAAATATTCCTGCAGATCTATTGTTGTTGATATTATTATTATTGTAACAGACATGGTCTTATATAGGTGAGGGTGACCTTGAAGCCCAGGTCCTCCTGCCTCTACCTTCCAAGTGTTGGGGAGACAGGTGTACTCCACATCAGCCAGCTTCATGTAGCACGGGTGTTGTGTTAGATGCTGTAAGCTATCCAAACAAGATGAAAATGTAGTAGAGGCAGGCACAGGGACAAGGACGGAGCAGGTCAGTGGCTCTAAGTTCCAGGCTAGCCCCAGCTATACAATGTGTGCCAGGACAACCAGGGCTAGAGAGCAAGACCCTATTATCTCGAACAAAATAAGCTCTTGCAGGCCATGGTGGCGCACGCCTTTAATCTCAGCACTTGAAAGCAGAGCAGGCAGACCTCTGTGAGTTTGAGGCCAGCCTGGTCTACATAGTGAGGTCCAGACCTGTATGGAGAGATCCTGTCTCAAACCTCTCATAACCACACCCAGAAGACAAGCAAAGCATCAAGAAGGCATGTGCAGGTTCTCTGAAAACTGTCCTTCTCCACAAGATTTCTGCCTCAGTGGATTCTGGCACATGTGAGGGTAAGGGTGGTAGGACGGAGGCCCAGCAAGGACCCGGGTCAGCTGGATCATCAAGAGTGGGGGGCTCAGGAGGAACATGAAGGACAGTGTGGCCATGTACCCATCCTATCCAAGTTCTTTTGGCTACTCCAGCCTGCCACCTGGCCTAGACTGCTGAGCACCTGGCACCCCGACTCCCACCACCTCAAAGGACCCAAATGAGCATGGTGACAGGAGAGTTAGTGGTGAGCACCTACCATCAGCAGAAGGGCAGGGAGAAGAGGCTGGCAGGGCTTCTGAGTCATCCCCTGTTGTTGGCCGAGGAGACGGGCCCAAGGCTCCAGGGCTGGAGGACTGAGGACAGGGTTTGGCAGGCTCTGGTGGGCAGTCCTGAGCAGCATCACTTGAGTCCCTTGGTGGTGGCTTTACCTGCAAGGAGCCTGCAGCCTGGCGGCCATGGTGTCTCTGCCGAGTGCTTGAGGACAGGGATGTGTGCTGGGCAGTGGCAGCTTTCTTGGCCTTCAGACCTCGAGGACCCTGGGAGCGCAGCAGCCGCCTGCGCTGCCATGGGAGGAGCCTGCGCTTGAGACTGCGCACAGCTTGTGCATACAGCATGGCACGCACTGCACACTGTGCTGGCGTTGGCCTCCGCTCCACAGTGGGCCAGCTGTGGTTCAGCCGCTGTGACTCTGCCAACTTCAGCTTGTAGTATTTATACTCCAGGCTGCTCTCATCAGACAGAAACCTGCCAAGCAGACACAAGGCAGGGCACTGGGAGAGCAGCACTGTGCTCTGCAAGACAGAGCTGCCCTCCTAAGTGAGGCACCCACTGCCCTCTGCTTTCCAGGTGCCCAAGAAAGTCAGGAGCTTTGATCCAGCTGGGTAGGGAAGCTTATTCTTAATCCTAACGATGGGGAGGTTGGAGCAGGAGGACTGCAGAGAATTGGAGGCCAGCCTAGACTACAAAAGGAGCCATTATCTTTTTATTTGTCTGTAGCCCTGGCTGGCCTGGAACTCACTATGTAGAAAAGGCTGGCCTCAAACTCACAGAGATCCACCATCCTCTGCCTCTAGAGCGTTGGGATTAAAGGTGTGCAACCAAGAATTGGTTGGATTCTTTGTCAGCTTTGGTCACAGGTGCTGAGAGTTCTGCATCCTGATCCGCAGGCAACAGGAAGAGACAGCCACTGGGACTGGCTCGGGATTTTGAAACCTCAAAGCCCACCCTAGTGACATACCTCCTCCGACAAATCCACACCTCCTAATCCTTCTCAGGCAGTGCCACTCCCTGCTGACTAAGCATTTTTCTTTCTATAGTGTAACACTGGGATAGGACCCGTGGTGGCCTGACATGCTGGGCAAATGAGCCACACTCAAGCTTGGTATTTTGTTTTGTTGACAGACTCCCCCTCTCCCCAAGGCTGGTTCAGACGTACAGTGCAGCCAGAGCTGGCCTTACAGTCTGGCTGTCCTCCTGCTTTAGCCTCCCTAGTGCTGGGGGGTTGGGGGCAGGTGAGAAGCACACACAGGTGTCTAGCCCATGCTTCTCTTTCTTGGCGGCTCTTTCTCCAGCACCATGTCTGTCTACATGCCACCATGCTTCCTGTCGTGACAACAATGGACTAAACCCCTGAAACTTTAAGCCAGCCCCAAGTAAATGTTTTCTTTTATAAAAGTTGGCATGGTCATAGTGTCTCTCCACAGCAACAGAACACTAAGATAGAAGTTGGTACCAGGAGTGGAGTATTGATGTGACAGCCTGGTGATGCTGCCTGTTGGTGGAACAAGGACTTTGGGACTTTGGAAAACAACTGAATGCTTTTAAGTGGGATTTAATGAGCCATACTAGTAGAAGCATAGAAGACAGTGGTGTTAACAGCAATGTAGATTACCAAGGTCTGGCTCAAGTGGTTTCAGAGGAGAAGAATATACTTAGTAAGTGGCCTAGAGACTGTTCTTGTGATATTTTGGTGAAGAATGTGGTTGTTTTCTGCCCTTGTCAAAAAATCTGCCTGACAGAGCCAGGCAGATCTCTGTGAGATCGAGGTCAGCCTGGTCTACAGAGTGAGATCCAGGACAGGCTCCAAAGCTACACAGAGAGCTGGGCAGTGGTGGCACATGCCTTTAATCCCAGCACTCGGGAGGCAGAGGCAGGCAGATCACTGTGAGTTCGAGGCCAGCCTGGGCTACAGAGTGAGTTCCAGGAAAGGCACAAAGCTACACAGAGAAACCCTATCTGGGGGGAGGGGGGGTTCTGCCTGAGGCTAAATTGAAGAGTTTTGGATTAATGGCTTTGGCAGAGGAGATTTCAAGATAGCCTAGTATTGACTGTGGTGTGTGGTCACTCTTATGCAGATCTATAATGAAAATGAGTAATCTGAGCAAGGAAAAAATGTAAACTGTACAGTTTGAGAAGAAAAGGAGCACCAGGAAGTGTAACAGAGCTAAGTCCTGTGTTCAAAGGGAATGGTGACCTCAGGGTAAGACCTGACCCAGCTAAGCTTCCAATTTGTGACACAGAATTGAAGAAAAGTTTAGGTTTGGTTATAATGTTGCTCACCTTTAATCCCAGGAAGGCAGAGGCAGGTGGATCTCTGAGTTTGAGGCCAGCCTGATCTACAGAGTGAGCCAGGGCAGCCACATATAGGCAGTGAAGGAAACCAACTTATCAAAAGGAATTAAAGAAAAGTTTAAGCGCTGGAGGACACCACTGAAAACAGAAAGCCGAGGAAAAACGTATTTGAACCAGGGAGCCATGCCCCAGTTCCAGCAAGCAGAACTTGGCAGTTTAAGCCACATGGTTCTGGCTTTAAAGTCAAGGATACACGAAAGGGATTGTGGAATCTCCCACCACAGCTAGGGAAAGCCACTGAGGCCAGGCCATGTGTCAGGGGTGTTCCTAATGTAGGTCCAGAGAGGTCACTGAGTGACTTGGTTCTGGGCCAGCAGCAGCAGTTCCTGCCTCATGGTTCCAGTGCTTTCTCCACTTGAGAGCACCCACTGTGCATGCACAGACCTACACTAAATTTCCTCTCATCACCCTGCTTGTCGAGATGGGTACCTCACCTTCACAGTGGCTCCCCTAAATCTTAGCTTTCTCAATCAATGCCTATTTCTGATCTTCCATTTGACCCTGTCCTCCAGCATACACACCACCAACAATGGATTCTCTAGTGGTGACCATCAGCTGCTAGGCTAGGCCCAGTGTCCACGTGGCAGAGGCAGTCCTCTCAGGACCATGTCCCTCCAGGGAAATCACCCCTAGGCCTCTATACCTGGATGCCGTCTTACCATGTGGTCTCAGCTTCCCTCACCAGTCTAAGACGGTGTGGCCTCCTGCCCTGCTTAGCACTGGCTGAAGCTGGAGGCCCTGCATTTGATTTCTGCTCCAGCTCATTTCAGCTGTGCATCCTGCAAGCACAATGCTTCTATATGTAAAGCAAGGACGGCCACAGACCAGCTCACAGGCAGCAGCCAGTGTAGAGTCAACAGCATGCTCAAAATCCCACTGAGCATTCAGACAGCAACCAGGCTGTGGCAGGATCCATCCAGCCCAGGAATCTGGGCAGGGCTCAGGCCAAAACGTAAGACCCCACCTCTTACAAATGACAAACAAAATCGGGGAGTGGGTGGGGGTGGAGAGATGGTTAAGAGCACTTGTTGTTCTTGCAGTAGACCAGGTTAGATTCCCAGCAACCATAGTGGCTCACAACCATATACGACTCCAGTTCCCGGGGATCCAATGCTGCTTTCTGACCTCTTCAGGCATCAGGCATGCGGTACGTAGGCACACATGCAGGCAAAACACTCTTGAGCCTCTTGCTTTGTTTTTACAGAGAGTTCTGTAGTCCAGGCTGGCTGCCAGTTCTGATCTTCCTGCCTCCCAGGGCTGTGGTACTCCTTTAGTACCATACGCCCTTGGGGCGCTGTCTCTTTGCACCCTAGGACAATCTATCAGGGAAGGTGAGTGGTGCTCAAGAGCTCTTGCAAAATATAAAATAAAGGCTCCAGAGATAGCTCAGCTGTACTTGCTGTTCTTCTAGAGGACCCAGCTTCAATTCCCAGCATACAATTCAAAATGGCAATTTAAAACTGTCTCTGACTCCATTTCCTTGGTATCTGACATTCCTCTGGCCTCCTCAGACATTGGATGAACATGGTATACAGATATACGTGCAGGCAAAACACTCATACACATAATACAATTATTTTTTTAAATAAGAACACGTCATTTAAAAAAAGACAAAATAAGCATGCTCACCAGTAAGCAGGGTCCTGCAGGAGGAGTGTTCTCTCTCTGGGAGACAGCCTGCCTTGGATGACACGCATGACAAGCTGATCAATAGTGTCCACCACCCTGTGATCCGCCCGCTGGGGGACTGCTGTGATACACAGAATGGATACTGTGAAAATCAGTGGACCTCAAAGGCCTGGAGACCAGGACAGTGAACTGGAGGGCAGCATAAAACCCCAAGCCATCAGCAACTGGAACAATCATGGGACACTGATGTTAAAGAGGGAAACCTGGTTGAAACAGAAAATGTCCTTGTGAGATGTCCCACCTCAGCTGTAAGCAGTGAGAGTCACGTGGCTGCACAGAGAACTAGATATAGACTCAGAAAGGAGCTGGTAAGTGTCGATCCACGACCACTGCACACAAGCTGCTTCAAGCCTGACTGCCCGAGTATTAACCCAGAAAACCGGTGCGCGTGAGACGCGGCTAGAGGCAGAGGTGGCACTGCGTCCCTGCAGTCACAGCTTCTCAGGAGTCAAGCAGGAAGACTGTCTGACCCGAGAGTTTCCAAACAGCCTGGGCAACATAGTAAGACTGTTTCAAAGCCAACTAACCAACCAACAACAACAACAAAAACAAACTCTGGGGTCAGAGAGACCCAAGTTCATATCCCCAACAGACAGTTACAGAGCTGGGTGTGATGGCGAGCGAGTGCCGAGAACCCAGTGCTGTGGGAGGTGGCAACCGGGGAAGGGCTGGGGCTTGCTGGCCGCCAACCTAATTCCAGGTTCAGTGAGAGAGCCTGCCTCAAGGGAGTAAGATGGAGGGTGATAGACAGGACACCTGACACCCTCCTCTGGCCTGTACATTCACACATACACCCCACACTCACACCTATGTGAACACACACACAAAACACCCAAGCCCACACAAACAAAAAACTCAACAAAATATCCCAAAACATGAAATATAAAAACCACCACTGATGGGGCTGAAGAGATGGCTCAGAGTTGAGAGCGCTTCTGCACAATCATGAGGATCCCCGCACCCATGGATAACTTGGTGTGGTCTTGTGCTTGCCTATCACCCAGCACCAGCTATGTATGTGCATGTAAATATCTGTGGTGTGTGGACACATATGCCCACATGTGGAGGCCAGAGGATGCTGGATGTCCTGTCCTGTCACTCTTCACCTTTTTCCTTGACATGGGGTCGTTCACTGAACCTGGAGCTAGGCTGGTGCCAGTGGCCATGTCAGAGGAGCAGCAGATGGCAACTGACTTCAGGGGATTGGCCCACCAGGAAACAAAACCCTGATGGGTGGATCTCGGATAGGCAAGGCCCCAAGAGCCCGGGCCCCAGAGTGTCTCTTGCTACTGCTGTGTCTGTGCGTGTTTGCTGCTGCCATTTTCCCCTGGTATCTGGCATGGTGTGAATGGTGTGGTGTGAATGGTGTGGTGTGAATGGGCATGGGGAGAATCCCCCTGCCCTGAGTACAGTATGATCATCTCTTGGAAATATCCTGTTCTACTGGGCACTTTTACCTGGGGATTATTATGAAGATGACTTCCTCCTAAGCTGTACTGTTTAACTAAAGCAATGATTTTATACAATAATAGTGTTAGTTTAAATAGAATTTTGATGATTGAGGATTTTTAATAAATACAGTAAGGGATTATGATAGAGGTTCATTTAGTGGAAAAATTAACATAGGTAAACGTAGGATAAAATGTTGCCCCTGCCTCTGATAAAGCAGAGGCTGCAGAGGATAAAAAAAAAAAAAAAAAAACAAGGAAGTGTCAGAGCTAGAACACATGAGTTTCTATGGAGGAGCTGTGTAGACTGTAGCTTAGGTTACAATTAAGAAAAACTATTGAGTCCCAGTAGCCCAGCTAGTTTCGATTCTTTTAATCTTTTTTTTTTTTTTTTTGGTTTTCCAAGACAAGGTTTCTCTATATAATATCCCTGGCTGTCCTGGAACTCCTTCTGTAGACCAGGCTGGCCTTGAACTCACAGAGATCTGCCTGCCTCCTGAGTGCTGGGATTGTGCACTACCACTGCCCGGCAATTCTTTTCATCTTCATGTTGGGAGATGTGTTCACAGGTTTCAGAGTGCATCATCACAGCTGAAACAAAACTTTAGAATGACTTCAGGTTAGATGAAGATGTTGTGATAACAGCTTCGAGATGGAAAACCCCAGAAAACAATCTAAAGTTCACAAGGACACATACCATAGCTGAGGGACTCGTTAAGGTCAGGGATCAAAGACAAAGCAGCTCAATCAATTATTATTAGCTGATGTGCTTTCCTTGCTAGGATTGGTTGGTTATCAAAGATGATGATTAATTCCTTGTACCCATTTCTGTCCTCAATCTCCTGCCATAAAAAAAGCTGATGGGTGGGTATGCACCCTAAAGATTTAAAGTAGAGTTGACTGATTATTTTTCATATATATGAAAGCTTAGGTTTGTGATTCTTCTAAGATTTTCTTATAAGATTTCCTTTTGAGATAAATAATAAAATGATTGGTCCTTTCTTTGTAACTACAAAATGCAGCCTTCCAGCAAAAGAACTGGCTGAGAAAAATACCTTGCTTGCTCACACTCTGTTAATCTATAACAAGTTGCTTGGACATGAATGTATGTGGGTTTTGGGACAACTTGTTTTTCACTTGTAATACATAAAATGTTTACTCATGTAAGGGGTGTGGAAACGTGCTGTTTTTACTTGTATTCATTGTAATCATTCACTTGAAAAATAGAATGTAACCACATTGAAATTTTTATATTGTTTGAAAGATTCTACTGAGGTATATAAGTTGTAAGGGAAAAAATAAAGTTAGTTAGAAGGAAAACATCAAGAATGAGAGAGTTAGAAGGAGAACATCAAGAGAGACAGAAGGGACATTTCTGGACAAAGGTAAGAAAAGAAATAAAGAAAAAGCCAGAAGGAAACCATCGAGAGAGAGTGTGTCTTTTCCCTTACCCTCTCAGATAGAAAGCCTGAGAGCGCTGACTCCGACTTGGTGGATCACCTTTGAGCCCTGCCCTGCTGGAGGCTGGCCCCCAGGCAGTGGTAGGCTGGTAGCTAGCAAGCCTACAGGGGCCTCCTGTCTCTGGCCTCACAGAACTAGGGTTATGCATGGGCATGGTCACAAGTTTTAGGTGGTTACTGGGATCTGAATTCAGGTCCTCAGGCTCTTACCCACTGAGCCGTTTCCCCAGTCATTCTTTTTTTTTTTTTTAAATTAATTTACTAAAGAGGCAGAAGCAGGAGGACCTCTGTGAATCTGAGGCCAGCCTGGTCTACAGAGTGAGTTCAAGGACAGGCTCTAAAGCTACAGAGAAACCCTGTCTTGAAAAAACAAAAAACAAACAAAAAAAAATTTAGGTTGTCAGCAAGTGCCTTTACCTGAAGATCCATCTTGCCGGCTCCTCTTCTTTTTAATTTTATGTTTATGGGTGCATTGTCTACATGTATGTCTCTGTACTACTTGTGTATCTGATACCATGGAGGCCTGGATATTGGGCACCCTGAACTGGAGTTACAGTTGTGAGCTACCATGTGGTTCCTCTGGAAGAACAGCCAGTGCTCTTAACTGCTGAACCATCTCTTCAGTATCCCCTCTTATTTCCTGAGTTTCCCCTTGCTACACACACAGTGCACAGGCTAGCCTCAAGTTTGTAGCAATCTTGTCTGTCTTGGCCTCCCAGGTTAGGGCGACAGGCCTGTGCCACCATGCCAGGACACATGCCCAGCTCTGCTTCAGAAGCCTCTGCGACAAGGGAGTGAAAGGGAGTGAAAGCCCCTGAGGGCAAAGCAAATTTACACATGGTGGGTGACATGATGTAGTGAGTTTCTGTAGAAACTCAGGAAAGCTGCGAAATCAGGCCTCCCAGCATACAGGGAAGCTGAGGTAGGGAACTGAAAGCTTGAGGCCAGCTAGCCTAGGTTACATATCAAGACCCCGTCTTAAAAAAAAAAAAAAAGGGGTCCGGGCGGTGGTGGCGCACGCCTTTAATCCCAGCACTCGGGAGGCAGAGCCAGGCGGATCTCTGTGAGTTCCAGGCCAGCCTGGGCTACCAAGTGAGTTCCAGGAAAGGCGCAAAGCTACACAGAGAAACCCTGTCTCGAAAAACCAAAAAAAAAAAAAAAAAGGGGGGGGGGATGGCTACAGAAGTTAATGGTGCTTGCTGGTACTCACGAGGACCAGAGCTTGGATCCCAGCACCCAAGCAATAAGCCAGTCTCCTCGCACACCTGTAACCTCAGTTCAATGATTTGATACCCACTTTGGCTTCTGTTCTCATACAGTCAGACATACAGACACACAAATAAAAAATTAAATCTTTCTGGGTAGGGTTGCACACATCTTTGAACCAGCACAGAGGCAGGGGCAGGTGGATCTCTCTGAATTTGAGACCAGCCTGGTTACACAGTGAGTTCCAGGTCAGTTGGGGCCACATAAAAGACTCTTAAAAAAACAACAAGCAGGCAGTGGTGCTGCACACCTTTAATCAGAGGGGAGGCAGAAGCAGGTGGATCTCTGAGTTCCAGGCCAGCCTACAAAGAGAATTCTAGGACAGTCATGGCTACACAGAGAAACACTGTCTTGAAAAACCACAAAACAAACCAACAACCACCTAAAGAGAGAGGAGAGCAGGCAGCTGCCCTCTGAGGTCAGCATGCCTGCTGCTGCAGTGCCTGGGTCCCTGGCTGGAGGGGAGCTCAAGGCCTTGGCCCCTTCCTCCTCTACCCACAGCACCCAGCCCTTGCTACCCTCACTCCCTCTGGCACTAGGGCCCAGGGAGGAAATGCACTCAGCCTGCTGCTGGAAGAACCCTTCTTACAAGTAGCTGTGGCCAGTCATCAGTGCTGGGACACGTGCTGCTGGCCTGGTGCAATGAGGCCTCCACCGCAGGAGGGAAGGAGGGAGGGCAGCAGGTAAAAGTGACACTCCCTGGACTAGAGGAACTGGGAAGGCTGGGTGTGAGAGTCAGCATGCATGCTGGGAGCACGGGAGAGGGAGACCAAGCAGCTTCCCATCCCTACTTCTGGCCAAGGCCAGAGCAGCTGCTGACTGTGAATCAGGTGAAAGGTACCAGCACACCCGGAATGACTCGCCTGGTCCTTGACACCCATCAGTACTCTGACCACCCTTCCCATCCCCTGGGCACAGGATCAACTAGGTCTTGGTGTCCCGTTTTCTCTGCCTTTGGTGACACCTAGTGACAAGGTACTTCAGAACACGGCATCCTAACCTTGATCCTATGGTGAAAGGGGTCGTTCACTGTTCCTAGTGAGGGCCAGCTCTCCCATCTGATTCCCAAAGAATCCTAAGGCTGGGAACTGGGGCTCAGTGGGTACAGTACTTGGCTAGCAGGCACAAAGCCCTGGGCTCCATCCCCAGGACCTCAGAAAGCAGGGGAGGTAAGTACACACTTGTCATCTTGGCACTCAAAAGTGGAGGCAGAAAGACCAGAAGTTCAAGGCCAGCCTGGGCTACATGAGACTCTGACTCAAAAACGAGGGTAAAAATTGGGTCTTTGAGTTCCAGTCTCTAGAGAGGGGCTGGAGCCATGGCTTAGCAGTTAAGAACACATGCTGCTCTTGCAAAAGACTGAGTTCTGTTCCCAGTACCCATGTTGTGCAGCACCAGCACCTTCTTCTGACCTCTACCAGTTCCTGCACATATAGTGTGCATATTCAGGTGCGCGCGCGCACACACACACACACATTAAATCACAAAGAGAGGTTCTAGATGGACAACATCTGTTCCCTTAAAACAATGAGGACCTGTGTTTGATCTCAGGTCTGATATAAAATGCCATGTGTGGTGATATATGCATATGCCAGAAACAGGAAGGTGGAAAGGGCCCTCTGGGCCTTGCTGGCCAGCCTGTCTAGCCTAATTAGTAAACTTCAGGTTCAGTGAGACCCTGTCTGAAAGGTGGTAGATAGTCTTCCTGAAGAACACCTGAGGCTGTCTCCTAGTCTTTAAACACACACACACATGCACCTGCACACACATATATGCACACACATTTTTAAAAAAACCTCAGGACAGCAAGATGGTTCAGTGGGTCCAAGTGCTTAAAGCCAGGCCTGCTGACTGAAGTTCCATCCCTAGGATCCATGTGGTAGAAGGAAAGAACTGATTCCCACAAGCTGTCCTCTGATGACCTCTAAACATGTGCCCTGACACTCATGTATCCGTCCACCCAAACACATACATACACACACTGAACAAAAATACTTTAACAATGGTAATGATGACACTGTTTAAAAAAAGGAATCTTACCTTGGCTCAGAGTGCTTGCAGCCCAGGGCTGAGATGCGGTTTTCTGTTCTCTGGGCTCTGCAGGCACAGCCCTCTTGACCTGGAGGGGATAGCCGCTGGCCATGAGCCAGGCCTTCAGGTGGTCTATGTATTCCCTTCCAAACAAAGTGGAGTCCTCAAAGTTTGGGAAGGAAGCAGGAGATGGAGCAATGTCTTGGAGGCCCACAGCCTCTAGGATCTTCTCCTGCCTGAAGGAGGAGGCCAAGGAGAAGGTCTGGCCTAAGAGCGCCAGGGACTTCCTACACAGAGAATTGGTGGTCTCCAGGGCCACAGCCAGGTCCAACGGGCTAGTGAGGGTCTTCATCTTGACGCTCAGCTCGTAGGCGTTACAGGCCATGAGCAGGGGCGTGACGCCCTTCAGCAGCCTGTCCTGGAGCCGCATGATGTACTTGTCGAAGGGCTTGATGATCTCGAAGAAGCAGTTTTTGGTCTTCACAGCACCTTTGTCTAAAAGCATGTTTAAAAACTCATTATCGACTCGGGGTGTTTTCAGAGCAGAGTGCTTTAAAAACTTGATAGTAAAAAAGCAGAAATCTCTGTGCTCCGGTTTCAAGGAGCATTTGAAGGAGGCCAACATCTTGGCACAGGTCTCAGTTTCCAGTTCAAACAGAGTCTGGAAGAGCTGGGAGAACTTGAGGTCATCCTTAATGGTGTGGAACCCCGCCCACTTGATGATTTCTATGCCAAACCTTGAGAACACATCTGCCTTGTCCATGGCATCAAAGCCCAGCTTCCTTCTGGGGAAGCTGAGGGTCCTCAGGTCCAGGCCCAAGGGGATCTTTAGAGCAGCAAACTGGATTTCATCCAGCCCTGGATTCGTTCCGAGGGTCACATCAGGACTTGGGGTGGCTTTCTGGATTTGGTTAGTGCCCTGAGGTTTGGAAGTAATACGACCGACAACAGGTATTTTCTTCGTGGTCATGCTTTTCAGTGTGATAAGCTTCCCGACACCCTTTGTTGCAAGCAGGCCCTGAGTGTCCCCCTTTCCTAGGAGAGTGCCTTCCTGGTCAGCCATGTTAAGAGACCGGCCTCTGGCCAGGACTTGCCCACTGCCTCTAGACACAGCGTCCACCTCGCCATGATGGTCCAGGTCATAATCCCGACTCTCCTTCTCCAACCGCCTGGAGGAGGCCAAGTCCCCCAACACTGAAGACCCAAAACCATATTCCTGTGACCAGGAGGATTCTTGAGAAACTGGGTGGCCCAAGTCTTGCTCCCAAGAGCCACGGAGTGCAAGCTTCCAGTCCTGAGAAGGAAAATGTCCCAGTTTTCGGTGGCCAAAACTCTGGTCCCGGGAGTCAGTATGGGCCGCTTCCAGATCCCGGCCACATTCTTTTCGAAGATAGCTGTCCTCACCAACGGACTGGTTGCTGGATCTGAAGGTGGGTCCCGCAAACATGTCACCTCTCAGGCTCTCTCTTCCCAAGTCTAGTGAGTACACTCCAGATCCACTGGAGGAGTACCTGCTATCACTGTGAATATCCTCATAGACATCTGCTCTGGCTCTTGAGCCTGTCCTTAAGAGATCTGAAATAGATGGCCACAGACAGACAGAAGGCAACTTTAGAACATGGGCTGCAAGGAAATGGCCCCCACACTAGCCAACACAAGTGCTTTATACTCCCAAGTGTGAGGTGCAAACTCCTTCTGCTGCTAACATTGTTTAAAAAGGTAAAGAGGCATCAGGATGGCTTAGTGAATAAAGCGCTTGCCATGCAAGTGTGAGGACATGAAACCAGATCCCCAGAATCCACAGTAAAACCAAGCAGGCATGGTTGCCTGAAATCCCCCATGTTCAGGAGGTGGAGACATGGGATCCCCAAGGCAAGCTAGCCAGTTAGAGCTGAAATCAGTGACTCCAGGTTCAGCAAGAAACCCGAAAGTGGAGAATGAGTGGGGAAGACACCTGCACACACTGCACACAGGGAACACAGATGCACTCAGGCACACACACACACACACACACACACACACACACACACACACACACACACACACACACACACACACACACACTAAAGGAAATGTGTGTGGTGCTGTCTCCAGCCCTCTACCAGCCGGTCTGCACTGGCCCACTGAGAACTGCCGCCAGGCATTCAACCAAGTAAGAGTAGCAGCACCTGGAAAACCTGCACCTGCGCTCCCCTGCAGCTTCCCAGCATTCCTCCTTCTACAACAGCATGGAGACTGCTGCCACAATGCTCAGTGCTTAGCTGCATTTGGGGGGATTCGAAATGCATGGAAGATGTGCACACCTCCCGCTGTGCAGACACCACCATGCCATCACACAAAAGGGAGCACTGTCCGAGCTTGCAATATATAGGGCAGGAACCTCACGTCCTAGGGGCACTGAGAGGTGATCACAGTTACCAGGCTTGTGCTTGCCCTTGTGACCATCAGCCAAGGCAGGGTAGTGGATTACCCAACAGGCACACATTAGCATCAGACACAGGCTCCCCAACTCACCACCAGACACTACCCTCACCATCACTCCACCTACCCCTTAGAGAAGGGGCTTAGTTTCTATGCAGTCACACCCAGCCCACTTCAGGGTTTCCACTTCTGTCCACTTCTGCCACTCTCACTGCCTCCTGGCGGACTTCATGTCCCACACTGCAACTGGGAGGCAGCCGCCTTGGCCCATGCCACACATACCACAGCTGAGCAGGCAACAACCTGGCACCTGACCCCAGTGTGGTAGAAAGGCCCGAGTGGTCATTAGAGCTGTCTCTAGGGCTGAACCAGAGACAGAGCAGGTAGGAGTAGAAGAAGCTACACTAAGTGGGGCTATGGCAGAGAGTAGAGTGTCATCAGGATGGGAGGAGGTGCACAGATATTGTTTCAGTTCCTTTTGTACACATACGCTGCAAGAAGCTGCCCACAGACGCCATCTATGGCAGCAGCAGGCCTCGGGCAGCTTTCTCACAGTTGGATTTTTAAACAAAATCTACAAAAAAGGGGGGAATCTGACAAAAAGAGACTCAGGTCTGGTAACAAACACCGAGAACACCAGCATTCAGTAGATGAGGGAGGAGGACTAAGAGTTCAAGGCCAGCCTGGACAGTGAGTTTGAGGCCAGTCTGGGTTACAGAATGAGACTTTGATGGGAAGAAGCTAGGGAGATGTGCGCAATGTGCTTGTTGCACAAACAAGAACTGAGTCACATCCCAGGACCCACATTAACCCATCAGTACAAGACCATAAACCCAGGCTGGGGAGGTAGAGACAGGACGGTCTCAGGGCCCACCGGCCAGCTAATCTAACCACATGAGCAAGCTCCAAATGTCTCAAAAAGCAAGATGAGGCTGGAGAGATGGCTCAGTGGTAAGAGCACTTGCTGCTTTTGCAGAAGACCTGGGTTCAGGTCCTAGAATCCACATTAGGTAGCTCACGACTATCTGCAACTCCAGCTAAAGAAAGCTGATGCCCTCTTCTGGCACTCAGAGTGACTCACTTGTCCCTCAGGTGCACATACCTACACACAGACCCACAAACATGTAATTTAAAAATAAAATAAATATTTAAAAAATAAAGCTAAGTGGAAAGTGATTAAGGAAGACACCAGATGTCAACCTTTGGTCATCATACATGCCTGTGAATTCCCACACACAAATATGAACACCTGCACACAACACCACCAACCCACAAAAAAAAAAAAGGGGGGGACAAGAAAAGGGACAGGTACCAAGAAGCAGAAAAACGGAAGAAAACACAAAAATCCACACTCCTGGACAAATACAAGTTCCCCTCTACAGCAAAGACTTACTGAGCACCTACTTTGTACACACTGGGCACTGTCATTACTGAGGGGAAGGAGATAGATCAGTAGCAGAGCCCTTGTTTCACACATTTCTGGCCCTGGGTTTAGGAAAACAACACACACATACCCACCACCCCACCCCACCCCATGCACATCCATAGACACACTGGGGGAAGGTGGGTTCCAACAAGGGCAATACAATGGGCAGGAACACAAACACAGTGGGAAATGCCATCCTCACAGACTCTCACCATATGTGAAGCGTCAGCACCTGGTGCTCAAGGGCTGCCGCTAAGGAGAGTGTGGGGAGTGGGGGTGGGGGGCAGACATGAATTTCCACCAGCAAGAAACAAACTGGAATCCCTTGGCCCTGACTGTGGTCCTGGTGCAGTCAAGGTGGCAGAGCTAAGAGGCAGGAACGATGGCTGTATCATACATTTCCCATGCCCTGGTTTATAGAAAAGAGAAATGTACAGTACAGAGCAGAAGCCTAAGGACAACTGAGAGACCATACAGCTTTGTTCCAGAACCACCCAGATGCTGTAAGGTTCACTGTTTCTCTGCTAATCAATTTTTCTTTCTGTTTCTTTTTGAGGCAGGGTCTCCTTATATAGCCCAAACTGGCCTCAAACTCACAGGAATCCTGCCTCAGGCTCCTTCCTCAGTATGTACCACAACACAATGCCCCACTAGTCTTCTTGAGGAAATTACAATGTGATGTGTGGAGGCTGGGGAGATGATTCAGTGGGTAAGAATGCTTGCAGTACAAGCAAGAGGACCCAAGTTCAAGTTCCTACCACCCACAAAAGCCAGGTGTGGCTGTACATAGCTGCAACCCCAGCACTGAGAGACAGAGCCTTGAAAGGGGGGACAGTCTTAAAATCTACAAAGCTTACATTAGAGAACTAATCAACCTAAAATCTCCTCTGTTTTTGTAACAATGACAACGCTTAACGTTTTCAGTAAGTTTATGAGTTTGTGTTGGATTACATCTATAGTGATCCATGAGTTGTGGTTTAGATATGCCTGCAAGAACTAAGATTCCAGTCCCAGCCAATTTGCTGGCGATGAGGCAGAGTCTTAAAAGGGGGACAGCTGTTGAGATGGCTCAGTGAGTAAAGGCACTTGCCCCAAGCCTGAATGATAACTGAGTTTGACCCCTGGAACCCACAGTCAACTTTTGTAAGCTGTCCTCTGACCTCTGAGTGCAAATGTATGTGTATACACACACACACACACACACACACACACACACACACACATGCAGGAACCCTTCTGTAGAAGCTAGGGTGTAGTTAGTGGCAGAGTATGTACATGAGTAAGGCCTGGGTTATCCCCAACACCAAAACACTCTCAAAGTCTTTCATGGCAGGGCATCTGGCTGACGTGCTCCACCGAAAACAGCACATCCTGCACAATGATTTAACTGGCAGGTGGGCCACAAGAAAATGTAATCTCCCCCGACAAATCCAGCAAAGATCAGAGTTGCTTGTCTTGCACCCAGAGCACTATAATCCAATGTGGCCCTCCTGAGCATCTTAACTTACCTTGAGCTTTAAGCTGGAGAGCTTCGCCAACAGCTTCAGAATCCCCATACCGTTTAGATTTCTCCTGTAATACGGTGTCCAAAGAGTCCTGTGCCATCCGCCTTGCCGCCATGTTTCTCTCTCCTACAGTGAGAGAAGCCACACTAATCAAGACAGCTTGCCCCAGGGCAAAACCACTACCAAAAACAGGGTAACAGAACTGGAAGAATGGCCTAGAAAAAAGGTATTTGGGAAAAGTGTGACCACCCAGACTTCAGTTTGGAAAAGGGCTTCCCAGAGCTCACTTTACCCTGAGAACCCTCTGGATGAGTGAATGACATTTTCACAAGGGGACAATGAGCTACAACTGTGCCCTCTGAGCTAGTCTTAGTAGAAGAGCTCTTTGGCTTCTTTCAACACATACCCGAGAGCCTTGTCCTTACAGCACAGGAGGAGCTGGGTGTGGTCCTGCAGGCCACTGATGCCAGCACTTACGAGGCTGAGGCAATGGGGTGTCCAGGCCAGCCACGACTACATAGTGAGAACCCGAAAAAAGGGCTGAGGGACTGGAGAGGTGGCTCTGTGGGCACCTAACAGTTACCTACAACTCCAGGTCTAGGGGATCTGACAACTTCTTTTGGCTTCCAACTACCCACTTGCCTCTACCCAGCCCAATAAATAAAATCTTTTCAAAAGTTGGGGGAGGGGTGGAACTGAGATGGTTCAGTAAGGGGCCAAGCCTGATGGCCTGGGTGCAACCTGCCATCTGACAAGTTGTCTTCCGATTTCTACCCATGTGCTCTGGCAAACATGTACCCAGAAATACACAAAACTAAGGAGAAAAAAGTGGGGCACAAGGACACATGTACCTGTAATCTCAGTGCTGAGTTAGAGGAGTAAGGAGGATCTCTGGTGCTCGGTGGCCAGCCAGACTAGTCAATCCATATCCAGACATCAATTTCTGCCCTCCCCCAAGAAAGGACCTGGTGGTATGCATGTGTAACCCCCAATATTTAGAGGGCCGCGCAACAGGATCGCAAGTTTGAAGCCTGTGTGGGCCACCTGTTCCAGGCCAGCACATTCTACACAGCAAAACCCAGTTTTGTGTGTGCATGGTTTTCTTTTTTTGCTACTACATGAGAGTAGTCCATGCTGGCACTGGCACTGAACTCTGATCCTCCTGCTTCTGCCAAGTACTAGGATACTGGTGTGCATTGCTGTGGAGACCCTGTCTTTTTATCTTTATTTATTTTTTACTTTTTTTTTTTGTGGCAGGGTAGAGTAGAAGGGATCCAGATATGATCTACCCACATATTCTCTAACTGGTCTCAAACTTGACATGTAAACTAGGCTGGCATCAAAAGTGAGTTTCCTCCTGTCTCTGCCTCCTGAGCACTGGGATTACAGGTGAGCCGTCACACCCAGCTTGAGACCCTGCCTTTAATTTAAAAAAAAAAAGAAAAAAAAAAAAGGAAGAAAGAAAAAGACGTTAGGAGAAAAGCAGACTTCAAGAAGCGAACTTCAAGAAGCGAACCAACCAAGGTCAGGTACCTTGGTCTTGAACCAACAGAGCACTCACTGGGAATGAGGACACATTCTATAAGTGCGGAAAAAATAGGCAGCATTTGTATCAGTAACAGCCTGCGTCACGACACTTCCAAATTCAAGAGACAAACCTGCCTTCTGGTCGTTTCTATAACGATCATCCAGTTTCCCCACGCCCCAGAAAAACGACAGGGCGGCCCTTGTTCTCGGTTGGTTAGGAGCAGGGTCTCCGGGTCAGGTGGTCCTGAGATCTAATCAAGGTACCTAATCTGTCTGCACCTCAGTTTTCCCATCCATGGGATGGGCAGCCACGGAGGGGGCAGCGGCTCCCAGCAGCTGGAGGCCCGACGCAAACCCCGTTCGCCGTTACGCCCAGCTCGCCCGGCCGGCTGCGAGCTCCAGCAGAATGAATGGACGCAAGCCGGGCCCGAGAAACGCGCTCGCCCTGGGGCCATCCGGAGTCCGCCCTACCCCGGGGCCCGCCCTCCCTAGTCGCCAGGGCCCAGGCCTCACCCCGAGCGGTGCCGCCCCCGCCGCAGCCTCAGGCTCCTTACCCGCCGCCTCGCGAGGCGGGGAGATGCAAATAAGCCAACGGTTTCCGCAGCGCCGAGTTGCGCAGGCGCAAGCCGCCGCCTCGCCTTGGTGCGCAAGCGCTGGCTGCCACCGCCTAGGCCCTCATGCGCAGGCGTCGACAGCAGCCATCTTGGCTCTCTCGCGCAGGCGCGCTGCTCGCTTCTTAGGGCGGATTCTACCGAGGTGAAAACTATCCCTTTTGAGGGGAAGCGATAGGTAGAAGCAGCGCGGAAAAAGCGGTGAGGGCTCCAGACCCACGTGTACTCCGTGGCTCCCTTCGCTTTACCTGTGTTCGTGGTCGCCCTTGTTGCTCCGGGAGGGAGCTTCTCGGTGGAGGGACGCCGAGGCGAGGCGGCGCCTCTGCGCTTGCGCGCATACGGTGGCCGGAAGGCGCCAAAGGCGGAGCCTCGGGCGGCAACCGCGAGCCCCACCCTTCCCCCCCACGTGGCTGTGTAGACCCGGTGAGGAACGCCGGCCGCCCGGTCCTGCGGTGGGCGCAGAGGGGAGTGGGCGTCGCGGGGTCGGGCTGGTGGTGTCTGCGCGACCCTCAGGGACTTGGTTTGGTGGAAGGAGAGAATCGTACTAAAGATTCTTGGGGACCGAATGCCTCGCCTCTCTGGGGTGCACGTTCTTTTCTTTGATACTGTTCATTGGTGCTGCAGCTGTGTGCTGGGTACCTGCTGCGTGTTCAGTTGCATTCTAGGCAGTAGAGCAAGGAGGACAGGGCGTGCAAGACTGTCAGTGTGGCTCTGGGTTCGGGGGACGAAGGTCCTGCTGTGGATATAATGATGATGGAGCAGGCGTGGTTGGTGCATCTGTCATTCCTGTTCTAGGGAGGCAGAGGCAGTACTGCTGTGAGTTCGAGACCGGCCTCGGCTACGTAGCCAGACCGACTTTTAGAATAAAAACGACCAAACGAAACAGCAAGAACAGGCGTTGTGGTGAGCTCGAGAAGCGGAGGCAGGAAGATTCCTGCGAGTTCCATACCAGTTTGGGCTGTGTAGCCAGACCCTGCCTCAATAACAACAGCTAAACCAGGGGTTTGTTGAAAGAGTCTGGAGGATCAGGAGTTCAAATATAGCTTTAGCTACAAAGCAAGTTAGAAGACAGCTCTACATGAGGCCCTATCTTATAGAAAACAAAACGGAAGACATAATTGAATGGGAGAGTGGGGCTGCTTGAACCAGTGTGTTTTTAATATTTTTTAAGTTGTTTTTGTTTGTTTGTTTCTTGTTTTTGAGACAGTGTCTTACTATGTAGATCAGGCTGGTCTGGAATTCACAGAGGTCCACCACTTCTGCCTCCAGTGTGCTGGAATTAGGTTGGCTTGTTTGTTTGGTTTTTGTTGTTATTTTTCAAGACATGGTTTCTCTGTAGCCCTGGCTGTCCTGGAACTTGCTCTGTAGCCCAAGCTGGCCTGGAGCTTGCAGTCCTCCTGCCTCAGCCTCCTCTGTGCTTGGATCACAGGCTTGTACCGTGAGGCCCAGCTAACCACACATACCAGAGTGTATGTGTGAATTTCAAAGTTTATTTTCATACATTTACTTACTGTGTGTGTGTCATATGCACTGAGACCCACATGTAGAGATGAGAGGACTTGTGGGTGGGCTTTTGTTGTTTTCTGAGACAGCCTCTTGTAGCCCAGGCTGAGCTTGAACTCTGACCCCACAGAGTCAGTGCTGAGATGACAGGTGTCCCACCACACTGACTGATGATTCTAGAGTGAATGGGCAGATGTCAGTTGTTACAGAGAACAGGACCGGGAAGGCTTGGTAACACTGATGTGGACTGTGTGTTAGGGAACAGCGTTCGGGCCAGGGGGGTGGCTGTCAGGTTAGGGTGCTGCCCGCCAAACCGAGTGACCCGAGTTCAGTCCTCAGGACCCCGTGTGGGAGAGGACCGACAAGTTGTTCTCTGGCCTCTGCATGTGCACACAGCAAATGCAAGCCAGCACTTACACATGGATAAAATGCAGTTTTTAAAATTTTGAATTAACTAGTATTAGAGAACAGTCAGGCTTGGTGGGGGAACATGTTAGCATGCATGAGACCCTGGCCACCATTCCCAGCACTGCCAAATAACATTGTCATCTGTTGTAGTTTGTTTACGCCTTGATGTATAAGTGAATGCCTTTCCCCCCATCTTTGGTGGATTGTTTATTGAGGTCAGGTTTCATGTAGCCTAGGTTAGCCTGGAACTCACTGTGTAGCCCAGGCTGGTCTTGAACTCCAGGCCCTCCTACCTCAGCATTTCATGTGAGGCCTCCTTAGTGTAAGCTACTGTATAATGCTGTCTTTGTGCACAGTTACATAGAAAATTGTACTTAACTCTGGGATAGGATGAGATTCAGGGGCCAGTGAGATGGCACAGTGGGTGAAGGAGCTTGCTGCTCAGCCTGCCAACCTGAGTTCAAGCTCCAGAACCCACATCTGTGCCAGGGGTTATACATGCCCTCCCCCACACAAATAATGTCATAAGAAACAGACAGAATAATTTTCTTTCTCTCTTTTTTTTCTTTTTTTAAGGGAAGGGGGATTTAGTTTAGCTGAAAGCCAAGTTTGTTTTGAGATAGGGTCTCACTGTGTAGCCCCAGCAGGCCTGGACCTCTGTATGTGGACAAGGCTGTCCTGGAACTCCCAGAGATCCACCTCCCTGTGCTTCCCAAGTGCTAGGGTGACAGCCTGAGTTCTTCTGCACTTTTAGAAGCTCTGAGGAGCCGGGCGGTGGTGGCGCACGCCTTTAGTCCCAGCACTCGGGAGGCAGAGGCAGGCGGATCTCTGAGTTTGAGACCAGCCTGGTCTACAGAGTGAGTTCTGGGACAGCCAGGGCTACACAGAGGAACCCTGTCTCGGAAATCAAGGAAAGAAGCTCTGAGGAGAGGAGAGGGTGGTGTAGATGAGAAGAGCGTTTTCATGGTTGTCATTGTGGCCTGGCAGCTGCCTCAAGTGGCCTTTTCTTCCTTTTTCTTTTATGTTTTATTCATTTTATTTTGTATGTGTGGGCCTGCAAATGCCATGGCCTGGAAAACAAGTCAGAGGACAGCTTTGGGAGTCCGTTCTCTCTTCCATGTTGGTTCTTAGGATCGGGCTTAGGTCTTCAGACTTGAGAGCAAGGTCCTTTGCCCGCTGAGTCATCTTACCACCGGGTCTTCTCTTTCTCTTTTTGGCTTTTTGAGAGAGGGTCTCACTGTATAGCCTCCCAGGTTGGCCTCCCACTGGCCAGGACCTTCCGTCTCTGCCTCTCGAGTACCATGATCCAGGCGTGCCCAAGTGGTATTTTCACCACTAGGGTAGCCAGCCCCTCCGTTGCCTGCTGTCTCCTGACCAGATGTTCCTTCCCACTCAGCATGCAGGGATGGCTGCCAAGCGCATCACACAGGAAACCTTTGATGCAGCAGTGCAGGAGAACATTGAGGAGTTTGAGATGGGCGCTGAGGAGGCTGTTCGAGAAGCTGTGGAGCAGTTTGAATCACAAGGTGAGGTGGTGGGCTCAGTACTGGCTCTTAGAGGCCACAGCCCTCAGCCTGACGTAACAGGGGGGTGCTACTGACCCCATCCCTGCCTGTGTCCATGTATCACCAGCACCCCACCTCACCTTAGAACCGCATGGAGCCAGTTGTGAGTCATGGAGGGGATAGCGTGGTAGGGCTACAGGGTGACGGTGGCGGTGCTGGTAGGGTTTGGAGACTGAACCACATGGCAAGGAGCAGAGGTTCAAGGTGAGTGTGACCACGTGTGTGCCGGGCCGCTGGTGGAGGCTGGGTGCTAGGCATGAGCACACCCCATTTCCTCTTATCTCCAGTCTCAGTCTTGCTCTCTATTGGACCAGGGGGGTCAGCCAGAAGTTAAGAAAGAATGTCTGCTCCAGAGCACAGAGATGGGGTGCCCTGTGGGCAATGAGGTAAACACTGGGAGCATGGCTGGAGCAGCTACTCACTCGCTGACTGAGTCTGTCCCCAGAACCCACGTCAAAAGAACCATGATAGGGTGTGTTTGTTTTTGTTTTTCGGGGTGGGGAGGGGGCTAGGTTTTTTGTTTATTTGGTTTTTGGTTTGGTTTGGTTTGGTTTTTGAGACAGGATTTTTCTCTCTGTAGCCTAGCTGTTCTGGAACTCACTCAGTAGACCAGGCTGGCCTGGAACTCACAGAGGTCCACTTGTATCTGCCTCCTGAGTGCCAGGATTTAAGTCATGCACACCATACCACACCCACCTTCACAGCCCCACCATGGGGTGTGTTTGTAATCCAGCACTGAGAGGTGGAGACAGGTGGATCTCTGGGGCTTGCTGGCCAGCCAGTTTAGCCTAATTGGTGAGCTCCAGGTTCAGTGAGACCCTGTCTCTAAAAGAAGGATTACAGCTCCTGAGGAATGATGCCTGACTTTGACCCTGGGCCTCCATGACCCTTGCACAGGAACACCCCCCCTATATGACCATACACCCACACCCCACATGACCATCTACACACAAACACACACCCTCCACATGACCACCTACACACAAACACACACCCTCCACATGACCACCTACACACAAACACACACCCTCCACATGACCACCTACACACAAACACACACCCTCCACATGACCATCTACACACACAGAACACCCCCCACATGACCATCTACACCCCCCATGACCATCTACACACATGAACACCCCCACATGACCATCTACACACATGAACACCCCCCATGACCATCTATACACATATGAACACCCCCACATGACCATCTACACACATGAATACCCCCCATGACCATCTACACACATATGAACACCCCCATGACCATCTACACACATATGAACACCCCCCATGACCATCTACACACATATGAACACCCCCACATGACCATCTACACACATAAGAACACCCCCCATGACCATCTACACACATATGAACACCCCCCATGACCATCTACACACATATGAACACCCCCACATGACCATCTACACACATATGAACACCCCCCATGACCATCTACACACATGAACACCCCCCATGACCATCTACACACATATGAACACCCCCATGACCATCTACACACATATGAACACCCCCCATGACCATCTACACACATATGAACACCCCCCATGACCATCTACACACGTATGAACACCCCCCATGACCATCTACACACATATGAACACCCCCACATGACCATCTACACACACATGAACACCCCCATGACCATCTACACACATGAACACATGCATACACCAACACATGCACACACACAAACACCCATACAGTTTTCAACAAAACACAGCATGGTGGTACATGTCTGTGATCCCAGCTCTTCCTTATCTTTATTATTGTTTAGTTTTTTTTTTTTTTTAAGACTGATTCATGTAGCCTAGGCTAGCCTCTTACTCATGTAGGTAAGGCTAGCTTAAACACTGATCCTCCTGCCTCCATTTTCCAGTGTGGGGATAACAAGTGTGCACCACTACTGCCAGCTCACTTCAGTGCTGGGGAGCTGAGGTCAGTCTGGGCTACATGACAAGATACGACCTCAAAACACTTACCCTCTGGCTGATGTAGTGACACACTCTCTTAATCCCAGCATTTGGGAGATAGAAGAATGTAGACCTCTGAGTTTGAGGCTAGCCTAGTATATATAGTAAGACTCTATCTCAAAAACAAACAAAAAAACCTCCTAAACCACACACACACACACACACACACAGGCAAGAAGTGCCTACCACAGAAGGGACGCCTTTGGGGCCTCAGGAGGCTGAGGTGCAGATGGGACCAGTAGGGGAGAGTTCAAAGGGAGAGGCTCTATAGGGTCCCTCCCCATCCGTCTGCCAGGCAGAATCTACCACCTTACTTCCCACGTGTAGCGTAGCCTTACTTAGCAATGGCACACACATGGTCTGCGGTCTGTGGCTGGCCTGTGCAGCGGAGGGACTATTGGGAAGAACCCTGGAAGCAAGCGTTCAGCAGGGACCTCCTAACCTGAGGGACTGGAGGGTAGGTGTCACCTGTCTCCAGCAGCCCCATCTTCCCCTCTGCAGGGGTTGATCTGAGCAACATCGTGAAGACCGCACCGAAGGCGTCCTTGGACAGCCTCCAGGAGCCCACACACGATGTCCTGCAGGTAGGAGCAGCTGTCCCCCTCATCACTGGGATGGTCTGGAGGGTCTCTTCCCCATGTTCCGTATGGCAGAAATCAGGGTCTGAATGTTAGTGGTCTTGTGTCTGCTGGTTCATCTTGTGACCAGGAGAGTCTACAGTCATGTGTCCCAAGTCCATGTGAGGGCTGCCCAGCCTCTGGGGACAGCTGAGCTACTTTGAGGATATATTGGAGACACACAGTGCATGTGTGATTTCATTGCCCAAGGGTCTCTGGCCAGCTTCGTGTGGGTTCTGGGGATCTGAACTCAGATCCTTGCTCTTGCTCAACAAGTGCTCTCCCCCCTTCCCCACCCTCCACCCCCCAGCCATCTCCCAGTCCTTGAGTTTTATTTTAAAAAACTCAGGGCCACATAATACAATCCTGTTTCCACAACAGCAGCAAAATTCTTTGGTTTTTCAAGACAGGGTTTCTCTGTTGTCCTGGAACTCGCTCTGTAGACCAGACTGGCCTCAAACTCGTAGAGATCCTCCTGCCTCTGCCTCCCGAGTGCTGGGATTAAAGGCGTGCGCCACCACCACTTGGTTTACAGCAGAATTCTTATGGGGGAAGCACACATGCTGAGATGCACGTCTGGAGGTCAGAGAATAACTTTCAGCAGTTTGTTGTCTCCTTCTGCTCTGTGGGTCCTGAGCTTTGAACCCAGGATTAGGCTTGCATAGGAAGCACCTTTACTCACTGAGACTGAGCCACCTCACTGGCCCCTTGGCTGTTTCAATCGTCTGTTCCATGTAATGTGCTCTGCCAAGGTTCCTAAGGCCAGCTTGGGCAGGACTGCCGACTTGTGTCTCTGCTTGTCATGGTAGCTGAATTCAAACCAAATCCTCTGGGCTGCTGGTTTCGGCTGAGCCTCCCTTTCATGGACATGTTGCCAGCAACCTCAGGAGCACTGGGCACGTCGACTTAGCCTTGGCTCATATTGTGGTGCATCCTGAGGTCATGCCAGTTGCCACTCAGACCGGCTAGCTCTGTGTTTGTTGTTTTTCTCATAATTCCCCAGATGGTGTAGAACTGCATCTGAGAAATCTGTGTGTGATGTGGCTTCACTGGGAGTGGATGAGAGGGAGCGGTCCAGATGGGCAGGTTCTCCTTCCCCAAAAGCTCTCTGGTCAGTTACCCTCTGCAGCAGCCCTTGCAGTGTTTCTAATGGCTTTCCACCTGCTGCTCTGACTGGGACTTCTTGGTGGCGTCCCAGTTAACTCCAGTGTGTCTGCTCACGAGCACAGCTGCTTAGCAGGGCCGCTGAGGTGGCTGGCACTTCTGTGTGGTGTGTGACCCGTGGTACACAGGGCTTCTAAAACTACAGGTGTGGAACAGTGATAGAGCACATGTCTAGCATGCAGGCCCTGGGTTCTAGCCTCAGCTCTATTGGGAAAAGAGTCAAGAGGGCTCAACGGGAAAAGGTATTTGCCGCCGTGTCTGATGACCCGAGTTCGATCCCTGGAACTGACCTGATGGAGGAGGGCCCTGATTCCCGTGAGTTGTTCTCTGCTGACTGCATGCATGCTGTGGGGTATGTGGGTGTGTTTGACATATAAGTAAAGTTTCTTTAACAAAAAATTAAAAAATAAAAATTGAGGGCTGGAGATGTCTGTAACTCAGTGGTAGAGCATATGCCGCTGTGTGAAGCCTTACACTCAGTCCCCAGTTCTTAAAAAAAGCACGCCGGGTGGCGCACGCCTTTTAATCCCAGCACTCGGGAGGCAGAGCCAGGTGGATCTCTGTGAGTTTGAGGCCAGCCTGGTCTACACAGCGAGATCCAGGAAAGGCGCAAAGCTACACAGAGAAACCCTGTCTCAAAAAACCAAAAATAAAAGCAGGAGCAGGAGGACTGGAGAGCTGGCTCTGCAGTTAAGCTGCTCTTACAGAGGACCCAGGTTTAGTTCCTAGCCCCCCACATGGCAGCTCACATCCATCTGTAATTCCATTTCCAGGGGATGTGACATCCTTTTCCGCCATCCTCGAGCATCAAGCACATAAGTGGTACACAGACAGACGTGCAGGCAGAATACCCATAGTACCTAAAATAACAATCAAAGATTTTTTTTCATTTTAGTATGGTGGCTCATATCCGGGATCCCAGCATTCAGGAAGTTGTTGCAGGAGGTTTCCTGTGAGTTCACGGCAAGGTTAAACAACGTAATTTCAAGGCCAGCCTGGGCTATATATCAAGACATTGTCTTGGCACTGAAGAGATGGCTCAGCAGTTTTTTTACAGAGGACCCGGGTTCAGTTCCCAGCACCCACATGGTGTGGCTCTCAACAGCCTGTAACTCCAGCTCCGAGGGATCCTATTTTCTGTTCTGACTTCTGAGAGTATTCACACACACACACACACACACACACACATACACACACACACACACACACACACACACAGATCCTGTCTTAAAATGGCAGTGTAGGTATAGAAATTTCCAGATGGATCTAGCCATCCTGGGCCCAGATTCTGGGGGTGAGGTTCACTGAGGTTCAGAGCCTAGTGGCAGCAGGCTAACCCTGTGACCTTCTCTGCAGGCTCTCAGTGATCTGCAGGAGTCCCTGACTGGGTCTCGGCCCCAGGAGGTATCAGCCCACCTTGCCCGCTTCTGTGACCAGTGCAGGCAGCAGAAGGCCAGCCGCTACCTGGCAGCCCAGAAGGGGGCCTACCCAGTCCTGCTGGCTGCCTGGCAGCTCGCTGCCACGAGCGACCAGGGCCTTCTGCTCCAGGCTCTCAGTGCTCTGGCTGTGCTGACTGATGGCCAGCCTGATCTCCTAGACGCCCAGGGCCTGCAGCTGCTCGTGGCCACGCTGGCACAGAATGCTGCCAACACCGAACTCACCTGCTGTGGGCTCCGCTGCGTGCGCCATGCCTGCCTGAAACATGAACAGAATCGGCAGGGTCTGGTGAAAGCTGGAGTGTTGCCCCTGCTGACGGCTGCTATCACACAGCATGGCCAGCATGCTGATGTGGTCAGGGAGGCCTGCTGGGCCTTGCGGGTCATGACCTTCGATGATGATATCCGAGTGCCCTTTGGCCATGCCCATGAGCATGCCAAGATGATTGTTCAGGAGAACAGAGGCCTGAAGGTGCTCATTGAGGCTGCCAGAGGTAAGAGCAGCATTGGTAAGAGTGGGGTGGGTGTGCTGAGAGGGTGGCCCAATTATAGAGCCCCTGCCTAAAATCCCCCAGTGAGGGGCTGGGGGCGTGGCTCAGGGGTGGAGCCCCGCCTAGAATCCCCAGTGAGGGGCTGGGGGCGTGGCTCAGGGGTGGAGCCCCGCCTAAAATCCTCCAGTGAGGGGCTGGGGGAGTGGCTCAGGGGTGGAGCTCCTGCCTAGAATCCCCCAGTGAGGGGCTGGGGGCGTGGCTCAGGGGTGGAGCTCCTGCCTAGGATCCCCAGTGAGGGGCTGTAATTGTGGCTCAGGGGTGGAGCCTCTGCCTAGGATCTCCCAGTGAGGGGCTGGGGGCGTGGCTCAGAGACATACCTGGGTCCATCCTCAGCACTGTAAAATTAACAAAGCTGTCCTACACTTTTATCTATCCTCATGTATAAGTACTTTGGCACATACATATGTCCAGCTCCAGGGGGCTGCTGAGTCAGCTGTGGGCAGTCACGATGTTGTTCTTCATGCCTTAAATCTACTATCTTCCAGCCTGCTACCCTTCATCCATTTGCAATGTCTGAAAGAGCTGCCTGTAGTGCACCATGGTGACACATGCCTTTAATCTCAGCACTTGAGAGACAGAGACAGGTGAATTTGAGTCCATCCCAGTCTAGGCCAGCCAAAGCTCCATAGTCTCAAAACAACAAAACCTGCCTGAAAATTGGAGCACAGGGGTGCTAAAAAGGATCAGTTCCTGCCTATCCCGTGACTGTAGCTCCATGGCTAGGCCTGTGTGTGGTGTTCTCACTCTGAGGGACAGGAAGTGCTGTCGCAGTCCCTGTTCACGCCTCCAGAGAGGCTGAGAAATGGAGCTTGACCATCTGCAAAGTCAGTCAGCTTCTTGAAGAATTGTTTGCGTCTTCCGTGCTTGTGTGTAGCAGCTTGGATTAGGCTAGTTAGAGACAGTCCAGGAGGATGGATGTGGGAGCACGTCAGCCTTGTCTCTGGCTCCACAGTGCTGTGGTGGAGCCCAGGGCCTTGCTAACATTAGTTCAGCACAAACCACTCTCTGCTAAGCCCAGGCCCCACCTCTAAGCTGCACCCCAGCTCCCAGGTATAGAAAGGACAGCTCACATTCTGGTAGTCTGAAGGCCCCAGGGAAGACCATAGACTCCCAGCAGCCTCAGGCAGAGTCTTTGTCCACTGAGAAGCCTCAGTTTCCCACTTACCAAAACCTTTACCTGATTGGATAAGCCCCACCCATTGTACCACACTCCTTCCTTTACTTAAAGCAAATAGTATGGCAGGTTTGGCGGCGCCCGCTTTTAATTCCAGCACTCAGGAGGCCAAGGCAGGCAGATCTCTGAGTTCAAGGCCAGCCTGGTCTACAGAGTGAGTTCCAGGACAGCCAGGGCTACACAGAGAAACCCTGTCTTGGAAAACCAAAAATAAAAAGGAAATGGTGTGGTTGATGACCATGTCCATAGTCCACTCAGATCAGCCTCTGGAGACGGTAGGAGTCCTAGGTGGGGCATAGGCAGCAAGTGCCACAGAGACCCCTGTAGATGATAACGGTTGAGCCATCACCATCGTCGGGTAAGTTTGTCTGCACCTGTTCCTCTCCAACTTCCTGTTGTGTTTTCAAAGTCATTTCCAGCTGGGTGGTGGCACACATCTTTAATCCCAGCACTCGGGAGGCGGAGGCAGGCAGATCTTTGTTCTAGGCCAGCCTGGTCTACAGAGTGAGTTTCAGAACAGCCAGGGCTACACAGAGAAACCTTGTCTTGAGGGAAAAAAAAGAAAAAGAAAAGTCATTCCCAGCTAGGGACCTCAAGGTCACATTGATAGTTTGACTGGCTTTCTTCTTTTTCTCCCTCCCTCCCTTCCTTCCTTCTTGTTTTGCTATGAAGCCCTGGTACTAGCTATGTTGACCAGGCTATCCTGGAACTCACAGAGATCCTTCTGCCCCTGCCCCTGCCTCAAGTGCAGGGGTTAAGGTGTGTGCCATGCGCAGCCCTGGGCTTCTTAGAGGATGCCAGGAGCAGGTCTGGCAGTTATTTGCCTCACTGTGATGGAGCAATTTCAATAGCTGCCAGCAGGGGGCAGGGCAGGCCTAGCCAGGAGCCAGTTCTCCCCTGGGAATGTTGGATGACCCCAGCCAGTCTGTGAAGTGGGGAGTTTTCTCCCAGGACTAACAAGCTCCTTTCTACACATCCGTTTGTCCCTGGTCCCTCCCATCTCCAACTCTCACTTCCTGCCTCTGCACAGCGTTCCCTGACAACCCGGGCGTCCTGAGCGAACTCTGCAGCACCCTGTCCCGCCTGGCTGTGCGGAATGAGTTCTGTCAGGAGGTCATCGACCTCGGAGGCCTTGGCATCCTTGTGACCCTGCTGGCTGACTGCAGTGACCACCAGGTGGAGCCCAAAGTTTTCCTTCTTCCCCAGGGCTCCTGCCCCTGAGGCCACAGCTGGCCAGACCAATCCCAGGGAGGAGAGGGCAGGGGTGAAAGTTCAGGTGCAGAAGGTCCACTCTCACTCTCAGGGTTCTGGTTCCATTCTTCCCCTTTTTTCTTGTTTGCCTATACTGGTGAGACTTTGAGCCTCCTGCATGCTAGCCCTCTGCCACCAAGTCATACCACGGCCCTTTTTACTCTATTTTGAGACTGGTCTTGATATTGCAATCCTTCTGCTTCAGCCTTCCAAGTACTGGGGTGACAGACTGTGTGTGTGCATGCATGTGCGCATGTGTGTATGAGTGAGAGAGAGACAGAGTGAGGCAGGGTCACAAGGTCCCATGTAGTCCCAGCTGGCCTTGAATTTGATCCATGTATGCTACCTTGCCCAGGCTCAATGTGGTTGGTATGGGTGCTAGAACTCAGGGCCTTGTGCATGGGGGGCAAATACACTACCAGCTGAGCCACTGCCCAGGTCCCACTTGCACATTCTCTACAGTGAGCAGGAGTGAGGAAATGGTAATACCGTCCTCAGTTCCGGCTGTTCAGTGCTCTCCCTGGGTCACATCTCATGCCCTACCATATGAGTTGGATTAGGCAGATCACCCACAAGACCCAGACTGCCCTTTCTCTGTATGATGGGTCATGATCCTGTTGTCACAGACTGGCCTGTGACCCTAGGACCATGTATTCAAACAGAAACAGCCATAGAAATTTTTTCCGCACCCCTCCCACCATCCAGCAAGCCTCCTGTTTGCAGCTGGCACACATGCCAGGGTGACCTCACCTTGCTGTCCACACAGGACCTCGTGAAACAAGTACTCAGCGCCCTGAGAGCTATCGCAGGCAACGACGATGTGAAGGACGCCATTGTCCGTGCAGGCGGTACAGAGTCCATTGTGACTGCCATGACCCGGCACCTGGCCAGCCCCCAGGTACCCACCTCAGACACACATGGGCAGCATCTCCAGGGATTGCCACCTGACTGTCAGCAAGACTGGGTGAAGGGCTGCAGTGCTTCTGGTAGGCTGCACCCCATCAGGTTCTCTTGGGGTCAGTGCCCTCACCACCCCTGGGCACCCAGCCCGCCGCTGCTGTGACACAAGCCAGAAGAGGCCCACTGAGGGGAGCTGCAGAGTATCAGGGTGGTTGGCCAGTCATGCTAGCACAGGGAGGTGGAAACCTGTGTGTCCGTCACACACTGCCTGTCCCACACTCAGGTCTGTGAGCAGAGCTGCGCGGCACTCTGCGTTCTTGCCCTGCGAAAGCCCGAGAACAGCCGGGTCATTGTGGAGGGTGGTGGAGCGCTGGCGGCACTGCAGGCCATGAAGGCGCACCCGCGGGAGGCCGGCGTCCAGGTGAGCCAGGAGCCCGGGACTACAGCGGGCTCCTCCCTGTCCTCGTTGTCTGAGCACGGTGGGCCAGGCGTGTAGCTATGATCCCAGTCCCCAAGGCGCAGGAGGATTACCACAAATCCAAGACCTGCCTGCCTTACAGTGAGTTCCAAGACAGCCTGGGCACTGCGGTACACGTGCGCACACAGCTCCGCCTGGGGCTCTCCGTTTCTGTGCTTATCTCCTTTCGTCTGTTTGTTTGTTTGTTTCTGTTGTTTTTTTCTTGAGACAGGATCTAATGTAACCCAGACTGGCCTCCAACTTTATTGACTACAAAAACGACTTTCACCTCCTGATCTTCCTGCCTTCCCTGCTAAATGCTGTAGTGACAGGACTGGGCCCCAACACTCCTTTTGAGAACAGACCCCAGGGCCCATTTGTTGCATGCAAGGCAAGCACTCCACCAGCTGATCCCACCTGCTTTTCCTTTGGAACAGGCCATGGCTCTGTAGCTGCCAGCGGCCTGGTGTGGCAGGATCGCCCATCTGTCTGTCATGTCATGTCACTCCTAAATCCCGTGACCGTGCTCGCGGCGTCCCTGCTGGGTGTCTGAGCCACCCAGCCGTAAGGACAGTCTATGGCAGCAACTGGTCCTCTGCAGACCCCGCTGTGGCATATGGTGCCTGTGCATCAGGGATTTTAAGATCCACGAAGGTTCCTGAGACCAACCCAGATGGGGGACTCATCGAGAAATGAACTTTGGCACCCCTTTACCCATGGCCTCAATGTAGCATCTCCAGGGCCTGCCTCGGGATTATGGGTAGCTGTTTGCCCTGAAATCATAGTCTCCACCCCAGATACTGTCTTGAGCGCTCACCTAGGAGATGTGGGAGATGGGGCTGAGAAGGTCATGTGAGAACATGGGGCTAGCCTGGCCCAGCGTAGCTGTCTGCTGAATGTCTCATGCTCTGAGGAGTACACTAAGGTCAGAGTGGACCCCAACCAAGGCCTGTCCCCCTGATCACAGCCCATCTCTCTTCCAGAAACAGGCTTGCATGCTGATCCGAAACCTGGTGTCCCGCAGCCAGGTCTTCTCGAAGCCCATCTTGGACCTGGGGGCGGAGGAGCTCATTTTGAAAGCCCGAGCTGCCCACCCGGACTGTGAGGATGTGGCCAAGGCTGCATTGCGAGACCTGGGCTGCCGAGTGGAGCTTCGTGAACTGTGGACGGGAAAGAGGGGCGACCTGGCACCGTGACCCTGTCTCAGCGAGCTCTGACTCTTGAACATGGGAACACTGTGCCCTGTCACTCTGTCCCACCCATGCTACCCAGAGCAAAAGTGTGCACAGCAGGTCATTGGTGGGGGAAGGGCAGAAGCAGCCCTTGGAGCCTGTGTCCCCACGGGCAGCAGTGATGACCTAGTGGCCCACCCCTTCCAGTGCCTTTCCCGCCCACAGTTTTTCTCAGCAGTTCTGGGGCAAAGGGCGCATGGAACTGCAATATTCTGTTGGAGTTTGGGGCCCCTGCAAGCCGGAGTCCTGACAGGTTGGCCACAGGGCTGCAGTTCAGGCACCATGGGAGAGGCGCTTCCACCAAAGGAGGCTCCCCAAGCCCCACATGGGGGAGGGGAGTGACTCCTGCAGATTGTCCACTGAACTCCATTTGTGCGCTGTGGTGCGCGTGCGTGCACATAATAAATAAGTGTAATTTAAAAACCCTGCTCCTCATTTTTCTTACATGTAAAATGGATCCAGAACTCCTGGTGCTGCTGGCCCAGTCAGAGTTCAGACTCGTCCATCAGAGTCTGCCCAGGTCCCTCATAATGCAGCCTGCCATTGCAGGCTTAGAGGGTCTCCTCACAGCTCTGTGGTGGCTGTGACTACAGCTTCAGAGAGAACAGGGCACTGGACACCTCAGGTTGCTGCAGGTACTAGAGGTATTTGGGACACAGCCTAGACTACATAGCCACTGAGTCTGGGTCAGGGCCACTGCGCTGGGGAGCAGACACTAAGCTCAGCCCCAGCCAAGCTGTGGTTGTGAGCAGGTAGTCTGACTTGTGGGAGCCTTGCTGTTTTTCCGCACATTGGGGTGTGTTGGGAGGGAGACAAGGCATCATTGGCTCCAGTACCTTCACCCCAGAAAGGGTGAGACACAAGCCCTACCCTGTCACCCCTTACCGAGTGTCTTAAGCAGCCCACTTCCCTCTGAGTCTCAGTTTCCCCATACGTGAAATGCACACTGTTGTTGCCATCTCAGATTCCCGCACCCCAACAATCTACAGGTTCCTAAGCAGCTGAAATCAAAGTGGAAGTCACAGCATGGTCACCAAGCTGCTCCTGAACCTGTGGGGCCCATGGGGTTCAGAGTGGCCTCAGAACCTCATACCCATATTCATAGGCTTCCCTTCCCCCTCTCATAGCTCTGGACCTGGTGTGCCTTTCCCAGAAGGCTCTTGGTTTCCATGGAAACCAGCTATTGCTGCTGGCTGCTTTCATGTGTTGGGGAGGGGGTTATCCCAGCTCAGCCACCCAAATATCCAAACCTCCCCCACTGGACAGGGAGAGGCCCTGCCAGCTCAAAGACAGACATGAACCTTGGACCAGGTCACCCCGCCCTTCTCCACACTCGGGACCTGCCAGGATGTAGGTGAAGGGTCTTCTTAGTCTCATATTGCCTAGACTGGGTGACTTGGTGCCTGGGTCAGTGATGTGTGTGACCATGGGCAGGCTTCAAACCAGGGATACCCAAAGGCTGGCCCTGTGATTCTCATCCCATCACACTCCCAGTCTACCCCAGACTTCCTTTTGTTCTCCATTCAAAGGCAATTTGCACCCCACAGACCACCTCCACTTCCCACCATTTCCCTCACAGCTTCCTGCTTATTTTCCAGCCACCCCAGCCTTCTTTTGTTTTAATGTTTATGTGTATGTGTATCAGGAGGCATGGAGGCCAGAAGAGGACATTGAATCGCATGGAGCTGGAGTTACAGGCGATTGGTCAGTTCCAAGGAGCAGAGGTCACCTTGCTTGTAACTTCACATGTCTCTCCGACTGTCTGTGCACCCCTTGAGGGTGGATCCTGTCCCGTGAGGAGCCCCCGGCCTCACACATTCAGCACAGCGGAGGCCAGAATCCACCCTCAGCTCCAGCATCCTTTGGGCAGCCAGCTCCACGGGACACTCGCCCTGGAGTGGGACCAGGAACTGAGTAACTTTAGGCCTAGTGGGGCCTCAGCAAGAGCTGAAGACATCCCCCCTCATCTCATTGTTCCCATCCGCACTGGGCCACCTCAGGCCTGTCACCACCCCACCTCAGCTCCCAGTGACTCCTCAGAGGATGCCCCTCACAAGGTGTCCCCTCCTTTAAGGAGGCCCTTCTGCTCCTTAGTACTTGATGTCCTTTGTAGTAATGCTGGAGAAATGGACTGAGAGAGACTCAGAGCCTGTTTGTGTGTGTGTGTGTCCTGCCCTCTACTGCTGTGTGTTCCTGGGTAAGTGGACTGACTTCTCTGGGACTCAGAATGAGTGAAATCACCTCTTTCTCAGTCTGGATTTAAAGTCACCCTGGCTGTGTTCAGGATGCTTGCAGCAAGGGATCCATCTAGGGTCCAGGGATCAGAACAACATTGCCAATTTGTGGGGTTTTATTTTATTTCTTTGTTTGTTTGTATATTGAGGCAAAGTCTCACCATGTTGCCCTGGCTGGCCTGGGACTTGCTGTGTTGATCAGGATAACCCAAATTCAAAGAGATCCACTTGCCTCTGCCTCTCAAGTGCTGGATTAAATGTGTGTGCCATCATGCCCAGTTGTTTTTGTTTTGATTTTTAAGATAGGATTTTTATTATTTTTAATTATGTGCATATGTGTAGGTAAGTGCGTGTGTGTGCAAATACCTGTGGAGGCCAAAGGCATCATCAGATCCTCTGTAGCTGGAGATATAGTCAAGGGTGAGCCACCTGATGTGGGTACTGGGTCCTCTGGAAGACCTATATGTACTCTCAACTACTTAGCCTTTTTTTTTTTTTTTAACAAAGTCTCTCACATAGCAGAGAATAGCCTTGAACTACTGATCGTCCTGCCTCTGCCCCCCAGTACCAGGATCCCAAGTATTCCCCATCATGCTCTGCTGTTAATGCCTTTTCATTGTTTGCAAATCTCTGACTCCAGGACTATGACCCCATTTTCCAGATGAGACATGGAGTTCACCCATTTCAGAGGCCACATTGCATTGAGGCCCTGGGTCCCTCTCATGCCCCATCCCTCTCCTTTAACCAACCTTGCCTTCCCTAATCTTGGGCAGGTGACTTTTTGGCTTTAGTTGACCCTGGGCCCTGACCTACAGTTGACTGAAGACATAACCCTGGGATTCCCAGAGGGAGAGGAGACAGGGAGAAGGAGAGACAGTGTCTTGCCTGGGGCCAAGCAGAGAGGCTGAGATCCTGCCAAGTGCTCTCCACTGTGGGGCCACAATAGAGTGTCAGCTGCAGCTGCTGCCAAACCCAGGCCCAGCCAGTGCCTCTGGCACCATTGGCAGAGGCAGCTCAGTGCTGGACCACTGCCTGACCCTTGCCTCAGTTGGCATTGTCGGTAGGGAGCCATGAGGCCTTCCAGGAGCTTGCCTCCCTCCCTCCCTCCCTCCCTCCCTCAGTCCCTCCCTCCCATCTCACAGCCTGGTAAGACCACAGTAAGTCTCTTATTCTCTGGATGGGGACACCACCCTCTTTGTGTGGCCATCTAACCCTATTGTTGCTGGAGCTGTTAGGGGTGGAGTCTGAACTCTGCTGGCCCTAATAGGTCAGGCTGAGCCATTCATCCTCAGTGGTTCGATTAAACACCCCAAGTAGGTCTTGGGCCGGACCTCTGTTGCCTGAGTGCCCCAGGTATGGTAGCATACACTTGACATCCCAGCAATCAGGAGGTCAAGGCAGGAGAATCGGGAGTTCAAGGTCATCCTTCGGTACAAAACAAGTCTGAGTACAGTGTAGGCTACATGAGGCCCTGTATCAACAATTAAACATGGGAGGCATGGCATGGCGGCACATGCCTTTAAATCTCAGCACTGAGGAGGCAGAGGCAGGTGAGTCTGAATTTCTGGCAAACCTGGTCTACATGGTGAGCTCCAGGCCAGCCAGGGCTACATAGTAACACAGTGTTACATCAAAGCTGTGGTACTGAGACAGATGGGTGAGTGGCTAAGAGACGGCTTGCTCTGCTATGAAAACACAAGGTTTGGAATCTCCATTCCCAGAACCCACATAAAAGAGTTGGGCATGGCCACACATGCTTGTTACCCCAAGGCTGGACCAGGTGGGCAGAAACAGGAGGATGTCTGGGGCTTGCTGACTGTCAGGACAGTCTGGAGATCCAGGTTCAGGGAGAGGCAGAGAGCAAGTGTACAGCCAGTGTGCAGCAAGACACTGGCTTCCTGCACAGCAGTGCACACACTCACAAACAGTAGTGAAGGGCCACATTGCAGAGGAGCAAGTGAAGAGGTTTGCCGATCCCGAAGTCCAGTTTTAGGGTCCTGATACAAGGTTCAGGATTAATTTTAATTACATTTATTTATTTATGTATTTAATTTATTGTGAGTGTGCATCTCACATGACAGCTCGTGTATGGAGGTCAGAGAACAACTTTACAGAATTAGTTCTCTCCTTCACTGTGTGGGGCCTGGGAACTGAACTCAGGTTGTCTTTGAGCTATCTTCTCACAAGCTCAAGGTTCATGTTTAAATAGAAGAGGAGAGATATGCATAGCTAGCTAAGTGGTCCTGTTCAGGCAATAGTCCTTTGCCTGTCATTGACCAATGTCTGTCTCAGCTCCAGTCACTCCCGCAAGGTGGTCTGACAGGAAGTCGGAACTGTGTAGAGTCTTTGCTAGTGCCAAGTTAAGTTTCAGCTTTGGCTGCACGAGGGTTTCAGCCTTCTCCTTCTTGCAGCAAGAGAATCCTGCGGAAACTCTAATGTTTTTGAGTCCCTTGTTTAAATATTCTGATAGACAAGAGAGGGGCATAGATGCCTCCCTCGTGTATATATGTATGCCCACATGAATTTATGTGCACTTTGTGTGTGCACATGTCTGTGGAGTCCAGAAGAGGGCATCAGATCCCCTGGAACTGGAGTTACAGGCAGTTGTGAGGTGCCATGCGGGTGCTGGGATCTGAATCCAGGTCCTCTGCAAGAGCAGAGTGCTCTTAACCTCTGAGTCATCTCTCCAGCCCCACGGGTGTCTCTTTAGAATATCTTCATTCCTACCCAGAAGGCTGCAGTGAATGAATCTGTGGGGAGTCCCACAGTGGCAGGTAGATAGTGGCTTCCACAATGTGAGTCTGCTTATTTGAACTTTGGAAATGCAGATCTGGGGACTTTACACAGCTCTGAAACCTGAGTCCTTAATATTAAGCCTAGCCCTGCCCAAGATCTTCCAGTGCTGAACTTGATCTCCACTGGCCCTGCCCAAATCTATGGGAAATAAGAGTTCATTTCTGGAGCTGGGCAGTGGTGGCGCACGCCTTTAATCGAAGCACTTGGGAGGCAGAGGCAGGTGGATCTCTATGAGTTCAAAGCCATCCTGGTCTACAGAGTGAGTTCCAGGACAGCCAGGGTTACACTGTAGATGTAACAGTCTTATTAAATAAGAAACACAGAGCCAAATGCAGAGTTAAAAGCCCAAGAGGTCAGAGCAGTAGCTAAGAGCTGATACTAAAAACCCTTTCTTAC